AAAGGTATGGTATGCATTTACATTCAGCCCTAGTTGTTTCTTTGTTGTTGTCTCTTTCATGTTGTTCATTTAGAAAGCAAACTGCTGAGGCCCTTACAGAACAGTTGTAATTGCATTAATATTGAAATGTACAGGTGAATTCTGAAGGTGTTATGGTTCTTTCCATTTGTTGTGACTGAGTTTTCAGTTTTATGTTATCAGTTGTTCTGTTTTGTTCTTTGATTTATTTTCCATTATATTCAAGTATTCTTTAGTTACTCTCTGTTGCCCCCTTGTGCTTGTTTTCTTTCCCCTTGGATTTCTTGGATTCCACCCACACCTGCTCCTTATTCAGCTCATTAGTCCATCCTTTGTTCTGTTCCCCTTAAATACTCCACCTCTGCAGTCACTCAGTGCTGGTTCCTTGTCATTGCTATAGTTGTCTTCTCACCTCATCTCTCCCTGGCTCCTCATGCCTGTTTTCCCCTGATGCATCTATGTTTTTTTTTTTTTTTTACATTTTAGGTTGGATTTCTGGATTGCTGCCTCTGTTACCTTTGTTATTCAATTAAATCTGTCAGAACTCATCTCTGCTTCACTAATCTCTGCATCTGGGTCATCAAGCAACCTCACCACCTTTTGTTGAGAGAAGGCATTTATTTAGAGGAATCCCACAAAGCAGACAGGTCTGGGCCAGATCTGGCTTCAAGCCTGATTGCAGGCATGGCAGCTGGTATTTCAAACAGAACTGTTATACCATGGTATAGGGTGAAAGGGTTGGGTTGTCACACAGGTTGCTTTTGTCTCCTCGAACCCCAGTCGGCCTCAGCAGATGGCCGCTCAAACTAACCATGGTTCTGCTGGAGGTTTCTTCCTATTAAAACTGAGTTTTCCTCTTCACTACAAGCGTGCTTGGTGTGAGGGATTGCCTTCTAGTCAATGATTTGATGCTATTAACTGGTTTTTCTTAAATAGAAAACTTTGAACCAATATGTATAATCTGGTTGAAATGTCTCTGTAAAGTGTCTTGAGAGGACATGTGTTGTGTATTGGCGCTATATAAATAAACTGAATTTAGCTGTAGTGAAAATTGTCCCAGTTGCTTAATATATGCTCATAGGGGCGCTGTTAAAATATAATGGTACAGAAATGTTCAAAATTGGGCTTACAGTTTGGTTTCATACTAATACATGCTAATGAATCCAAGTTTTTTCTTTTTAAATATCCTAAAACAACATTTAATAGATGTAATTACCTTTGCAAGGTAGAGTAGAAATTACACTGTAAATTTAGTGACTTACCTCTGCCTTCAGTATAGCTGCAACAGTGGAACCCTTGTTTCATTGCAAAACTAGAAGATTATCTTAGAGTTATTAACTCTTTACCAATAGACTGTTTAACTGCTCTGAATTTGCAAATACATCACATGCATGTATTCAGGTCAGCTGGAACAATAGATTTTGTTTTATTTTTTTGTTGTTGAAATGTTTGAAAATTTAACTGGATAATGTTTCTTTGTTGGTCTCTATCCTTAAAGAGCTTTTCATTAGGGTTGCGTTTCCAACATGTGAAGAATCAGTAGGACAATCATATTTTTTTTTAACAAATTCAAAAAACTTTTCATCAAAAGTTCTAGATTGACCCATTTATAGCACCCTACTACAATCAATCTTTGTAAGGCTGGCTCAGTCCAGCCTCATTTTCACCATCCCCAGCTGCTCTAGCCTAACAGATTGTTTCATTAAATCCTATAAGTTGTGTAATTTTCTCACAGAGTTGCTCTATGTTCCAGCATGACCTCACCCTGCTCCCCCATCTTTTGGTACAGCTGATGGGCCTCTTGTTTGGATTAGAAAGCAGCGATCATTTTATGAATTGGATTCTCCTTATGAGATCTCAGCATTTTCATTAGTTAAGAGCAGCAAATGTCAAAACAAGCTTCAATGTTGTAGTTCCCTGCTGCTGTGAGAAAGTCTGAGGCATCAGGCATGCACAATATGGGAATATAAACAAAACATGATTTTATAAGCCCATTGGGACACATTGTTACAGCCTGGTTAATGGTTGTGGTAATCTGGGCACAGATTAGCAGAGCCATCAGACTCAGCCCAAATGTTAGATTTTAGAAGATTCAGGCTGCTTTGGGTGAGTTTTACAATTTTCTGCCGTCCTATTTCAAGGGGTTATTACAGGACAACTAATACGCATTTGAACTTCTTAGTTACTTCTTAAAGCATGTAAAGTACACAGTAGCTACAATAGCAACATACTAGTATGATTTGCTGCAAATGTAAAAAAAAAAAAGGGGATTTTGCAAAGAAAGTATAAGAAAAAAATAACAGGAACAGCAAAAATAATCAGTACAGCAAAATAAGCAGAATAAAAACAAAAAAAATTAAAACAGAACATTTCAGGTTGTACTATAAGCCAATTTATAGTTATGTTTTTGACAGAGTTTTAAAAGTTGACAGTGAAGGGGTAAATATGAACCGAATTTGGATTTTATTCTATAAGATGAAAACAGTAATGATAAAAGCTCTTACATTTGACCTGGGACCTATTCAGGAGACACTGACAGCTGACCTCAGGCATCAAGCAGGAGAGTAAAGATCAAGCAGTTTAGAGAGGAAAGAGATTGCTGAAAACATTTAAAAGAACTAAAATCATCTCAAAAAGAATCCTAAGACATGGGGCCAATGTAGGGAGGAGAGAATAAGAATGATATGTTTTCTCTTACTAGCTCCAGTTCAAAGCCTGTCAGCTGTGTTCCAATATAAAGAGCATTGCATTCTTCAAGCCAAGTTGTAACAACAGCATAAAGAGCAATCTCAAGGTTTTGTTTTGAGAGAAATGGCTTAGCATTTGGCTATTTCAACAAGATTGTGAAAAACACTTCACCATTTTAAGACCCAAAGTAGGAACTGTTTGCTTTATAAAGATGACAAAGAGCTAAAGAAGGAAAAGGTTATCAGCAGCACCACAGACCACCGCCGCTGTTTTTTTAATAATTAAAATGTAAAAAGTTTAAGGCCATCCAGGATATGATGTCCCCCAAGATACATTTAAAACAGACTGATTCAGAGGGATACATTTTTAGTGGTATATATATCTTCCTGTTATCATTATAGAAATGAAAAAGGATCCAAAGCTTCTTTAACATTGAACTCAAAGAAGCAGATAAAGGGAGATAAAACAAGGGAATCATAATCTATTTCAGCTGATATGGTTCGTCTACCAAGTAGGATCTGAATGAATCTCAGTGAAAAAAATTATGCAACCGCTTTTGGCATTTACTTAATCATATTTAGTTACTTTAACACAATTGTTGTATGACCTACCCTACTAAAAATGAAACAAAGTGTTAAAGTAACACAAATATGATTAAGTATAGTTAAGTAAATGCCAAAAACACTGTGGTACCACAAATATCCACTTGGTGCAGTAAAAGAAGTGACATAACATTTGGTCAACTGTATCAAATCCAGCGGTAAAACATATTCATCTGTATAATTAGGACATGTCCATAAGGATGTAATTAAAAACTCTTACCAAAGCAGATACTGTGTTTTGGTGAGGTTTAATAACGGATTGGAAAATATCCAAGATATTATGCTGTTAGTTTAATCTAAGAAAATATGCTTTCTCCAAGTTTTTTTTTTATTTATTTATTTGTTTTTTTAAATAGAAGCTAGTTTAGAGATTTTCCAAAATATGCAATCATAGTATTGTCAGGGATAGGTTTCTTAAGTAGAGGCTGCACCACATCATGCTAGTATCATCTTCCACATGCTGAGAAAACCTTAAAAAGTGAGGGGGTACAGGGTCAGAGGGGAAGGATTAGTTCAGATGGTCAGTTATCGGGTTCAATTTTGTTCAAACGTCTGGAAAAGGGTCTGACAAGAAGGGTCAGAAAAGGCGGAGCAGAGATTTTCTGGGGTACACCACAGGTTTTAGGTTTTTTTACTTTTTAAAATTAATGAATATGTAGATTTTCTTCTACGTTTGCAGATTCACTAACAAAGTTGCTGTTGGATAATTTACAATCTCAACTTCTTTATCTGTGTATTTTCTTCACATAATATGGGATTAAGTGTCAGTAGCATCCGCTAAGCAGTTTCTGCTCTATTTAACACCCGCAGCTGCAGCCTTTTGGTAACCTTGCCAACAGGTTACAAAAAGGTAGAGTAAGGAGTTTTGTTTCTGAAGATAAAATGAAATCCAATAAAGAATCATATGATCCATCCAGCATATTTTTTTGTAAACGATAAAAAATGAAAGGCTTTAAAGGTTTCTTATTTTTATTTTCTTCATCTTTAAATTACAAAATAAAAGCAGGCTATCTTACAATTAAATGGTACTCATTTGCACTATTTTGGCATTAAAGGTATAGTGGAGGATGTTGTTTTTCCGGATGGATCATCAAAATAACTGGTCCTCCTAATATTCAATCATTCTGGTGATATGCTTACATAAGGCCATCCTATGTGCTCCTCCCCTTTTTCACTTGCCGATGGTGAGTCTGACATTGTGGAAAAATTGTTAATATTTTTTGGGAAAGTAAGCTTGTATGAGTGATGCAAATAGATACTTTTGAACAGAGCGTGCACGAGGAGAAATGGGCTCGTGCATGCTCTCACAAACGTGATATAGGCGTTCACTCTAGGGAGCTGATACAGGGTTGTGCAGGTCTTTTTAAAAATGGTTAAAAATCCTCCACTATACCTTTTATTGTCTTGAGATCCTCCTAAATGTTGATTAAAAAACAACACACATAACCTGTTAATGGAAGAAAGGGCAAAAACACATGATTTATTTTCTGAATTTTCTTGATTGTTCTGATTATTTTCCAATTTTTTATTATTAATATTATTTTTTTGAAATTAAAATATATATTTTTTTTATTATTCTTATCAAAGCAGTGGAGCCACAGAAAAAGACAGCGGTTGTTTAAAGACAACATTTCCCATGTTTCCATTGTTTCCTTCCCTCACACACATAGAAAGCTGAAACAGTTAAAGGAAAAGCAAGGTTCTGTTTACAAGCAAAGCTGGTCTGCGTCCCTCTGATCAGATATTTACACAGCAAAGGTCTAAAGTTATTGTTTTCTCTTTTTTTTATGCGATCAGCAAAAGTGTCAGCGAGATTGCTAGAAATTTGCTCGTTAGGACATTCCGCCGAGGATTGCACAAAACAGAGGAGGGGGAGAGGTTTAACCCAGATTAGTCTCTTTATGCTTTTTCACGTGAAAGAGCCTTTATAAGAAGGCTTCGTATTGAAGAAACGCCTGGTTTGATTGTTGCTGCTGGAAAGAAAAGGACTGCTTTTCAGGTTGATTTAGGTTTGCAGATCCAAACATGGCAGCGTATACATTACCGGAGGGATTCTCGGACTTTGACATGTTTGCGTTCGGCTCTGCACTTCTTGTTGGGGGTAAGTGTGCAGATTTGTGCAAGATTTAAAGGGACAGGCTCTTAAAAAAATAACAATAATAATAATACATTTTTTTAAAGCTCCTGCATGACAAGTACAGTCTTTAAAATGTATTGTTCAGAGGCGTAGCCATAACTTTTTTATAAGGGTGTCCAAGCACCAATGTACACTGAGGGGGGACCGAAAGTGAATAGGATCCAGAACCTCAGGGTCAATCTACAACAAGAAAATTAATGGGCACAACATCTAAATTTTCTAAATAAAGATAAACTATACGTTCCTTTAACCTTTGCTGACAAATAGATGCATAAATATTAAAACATCTGTGCTTTCTAGATAAAAGGTATAGTGGATACAATTCTTTGAAGTTTGAGTTCTGGGGGCGAGCATCTTTTCCATTGACTTTTATCAATAATCATTCTGCATAAAATTGATATTTACAAGTACTAATATCTACGTAAATTTATTATTTATTATGTTTTATTAAAGTAGTTATTTATCAATAATTTTACTGAAGACTCTTAGAAGACCTGCAAAAACATATCATTTTCTTTTTTCCCCATATAATATAAATTCTAGTTCTGAGCATGAATTCTGTTCTTATCATCTTTAATGTTAGTATATTAATGTGCATAATTAAGCACAGTGTTTTTGTTGTCAAGTAATTGTTAATATATGAAAAATTAAAATGTTTGAAATATTCCACTTGAGAGTATTACTGCTGCCACAGTCTGTATTAGAGGGAAAAATATGGTAGGGGTGGACACAGGGGTATCCATTGATTGGCTAAGGCTGGCCATGGCCACCCCTGGCCCCCCATTTAGCTCCGCCCCTGGTCTTGTTCTATTTGGCCAGAAACTGCTAAGTTCTTGGATTTATCTTCAAAGAAAATGCACTAAATCACAAACACAGTGTCTGTGAAACATATTTAAGCTTTAAATGTTAAGAAAGTCAATTGCTACATTTACAGATTAAGATAATATATTCACACTTTCTGCTGTTGTCATTAGGGCTGAAAGAATCAGATTAATCAAGATTAATCGATTATTGAAATAATCTGCAACTAATTTAGTAATCAATTAATCTGGAGTGTAGAGACTCTAAAACATGTTTTTAGCTGACAGAGGAAACCACTTAGAGCAGTAATTATATCAAAATGTAAAAAAATATATATGTAAAGAATTTTCCTTTTATGATTAAAAAAAATAAATACTTTTTGCATGTCACTATGCTCTATTCATATCTCCTCAAGTGGAAAATATTTAGTTTTACTTGGTTTACTTTCGTAAAAAATCTTCTTCAAAGAATCTTTGGCTGTACGATGATTAATCGACTTATTTAAAAAAAATAATCGACAGATTAATCAATTTGCAAAATAATCTTTAGTTGCAGACCTAGTTATCATGCCTTTTAGTTGCAATAAAGTGTTTTGCAGTCAGATTGAATGTGTGCAGATATACTAGTTTTCATCATCTACAATATAATAAAGTAATGAGAAAACGGCTAACAGATGATTATTTAGAAAGATGACTAGATTGATTTGACATCAGAATAGAAGAAAACCTGGGATGCACAGTACATCCTAAGGCATTACACAATATGCAAAAAGGTAAGTAGGCTTTAACACCTTGTTGAATGTTGCAGTGACACTATCCATTGTTGTCATACATCTTTTTCTGTATCTTCATCACAATGTCTAATTTAGTCTCAATAAGCTTTTCCGCCTTTCTTATTTCAGGGCAGGTCCATTGCTTTGACAAGTTGCATTTGCCAAATGAATGAAGGAATGGCACTTACCTCCCCTGGAAATTAATACATACATTCAATTAACCTCACATTTCTTAATCAAAATAATTTTTGTTGTCTGATTTCATATTTACAGCTTAAATGTGCAAAACTGAACCATCATTATGAGCAGCAATAAAAGGTGTGAAAACACTGATCTGTGTATAATTTGATTATTTAACAGTTTTTCGACTGAAAGGTCAGTCAAATCATTTCCTTCTTCACTGAATATTACTGCATGTCTAAAATCTGATCTGAAGGCTGCATTCTTTTCCTGTAGTAATATGAAGAAAGTCCAAGATTACCGGTTATGTAATTAAGGATTATATGTATTATAGTCACACCACTTTCTATCACTTTCTCTCATTCCAGTTCTATTAAGTATAAAATAAAGGCAAACACTAATTCTACCAGCTGCTTCTACAGAAAGGAGAGTTTTTTTCTAAAAAGAAATTGAATGTTTAGAGTACTGTTTGACCTGATTAAATGTAACTATATCATAAGTTGAATGCTCCCTTCTGAGTTTAAGGAAAGGTTTTCTGGTCCAGTTTGAAGGCCTATCTTTGTCCTATAAGGGGATGGATTGGAATATAAAAGATAGATATATTTAATTCACTTTAAAGCTAACTTATTAATGCCAAGGGAAAATAAATATTGCTGTACGTGTTTCCTCAACATGTTGTAGATGTTAATGGCAGTAAGCAAGAATGATCTCCTGTTGCAGTCAGTTTTGCAGCAGGACTAGAGAAACCCCTGACTAAGGAGACATTGTTGGTCAATGGCAGTAAGAGGAAAATAATTCTCACTGTTTTCCATAAGGTTTTTCCTTTTATAAAGAATTCTTCTTTGTTAGATCATCTCTACAGGAGTTACCAAAACAGAACCAACCTTCTTTAGGTACTTCTTCAGGTTAGTTGTTCTAATGCTGCTTCCCCCTAACTGATTCATGTAGTTGGCTGGCTAAGATGTTTTATCTTAATACATGAGATCATGAGTTTGATCATCTGATAAAGTCTTTTTATATTAGTTTAAATCTATTGCAGCTATTTGCTGATTTAATCATCTTAAGAGCGTATCTATGTTTTGTAATGTAATAATATGATTTGTAGGAAGCTTCACTATAGTGAACATCCACTGTGTGACACCAGTGTCTTACTGCTGCTGACTCTTAGGTCAGAAACCACCACCTGAATAGTGTTATACTTTTTGACATTATCTCTTTAATGAATATTGAGAGAGATGCCCTGTTATAACACAAAAGTAGATTCTTATTATAGCTATAACAGTCCTTTAGATTATTTCTCACTTTAGTTTCAGAAATGGGACACCAAAAATGTCTTAAAAAAGCCAGATTTATACTTAACATATCCAGCTTCATCAACCAAACAAACAATGCAAACAAACAAATAGTGATTATCAGTCCTTAGTTTCAGTCAGGAAACACCGACTTCATCACTAGGTTACTATACTTACAGTTAGAGTGCTTTGTCAATTTATACTCTAATAATTGTACTTTTCTTTTCCACTTGTTAAAGCCAGAATCAGAACAATATTATCAACACTGTCCTTGTTATAAAACTATTTCCATGTTAAAGCTGTTTCCACATTCAAAGATTTCAAACATGCAATACATCTATTGCATAAAGAGCCGAACTACTAATTTGCATTATTGAAAATTAACTTTTTACATGTACTAATTATTTATTTTTAAAGGTTTTCTAAATTTGAAAATCATTCAAACCATATAAAAACACAAATATTTAATGATGGAGGATTTAATCAGTGTAGGATAAAAGGTTGTTTAGAGTAATTGAAAAGGTCTATTGATAATATCTTTAAGCTACCTGCAGTAAAGTACTTCTTGTTGGTAAAAGTTCAAATCTAATCTATTTGTTATAAATGTAAATAGTCCAGAGTTTGAAATTTGGAGTATGATCACAAATTAATTGGGAACTTGACTTGTTTTCACCCTCAGGGATGCTGGGATTCTTCCTCAACGCCATCAGCATCCTGGCCTTCCTCAGAGTGAAGGAGATGCGATCTCCCAGTAACTTCCTTGTGTTCAACCTAGCCTTGGCTGACATCAGCCTGAATATGAATGGACTCACAGCTGCTTATTCCAGCTATCTCAGGTATAAAACAAGATAAAAAAATGCTTTTTTTTAAACATTATCTATCCTTAATGTCATGCGTTTGAACAAGATGTACTATGTTTTTTTAATAGTCTGTTAGAATTTGAACACAAGAGCTCATTCTGCTCACAACAAGCCAGTATCTGTGCTTTATAATCCAGGTTTAAATCCACTTTGCTTGGAATGAAGGTTTTGCAACCAAATCTGTGGAGTTTTAGTAACTGGATAACAGAACTTAACATTAGGGATGGGAACAACAGAAAAAAAAAACCTCAAAGGTTTTTGTCAGGCTTTTTTCCATCATCTTAATCTTTCTTTAATACCATATTTTTTTTTTTAAATATCATATTGCATGTTTTTCATATCTTCTTCTGGCTATGTTTTGTTTACTTGCAGCATGCCCAGATTGACACAGGTAGGGTTTTCTGGCTTATATTCTCTCCTCCTCTTCTTTTAATTTTATTATGTAACACGTTTAAATCAGGGGTGATTTCTCATTGAATAATAGGGAGGCTAAACCTCAATTCAATTCCGTTCAGTTTATTTCTATAGCGCCAATTCACAACACATGCCATCTCAAGACACTTTAAAGAGACAATTGAACCAAATCATAAAATCAGATTGGTTTAAAGTTTTGTATCTAAGGAAAACCAGTTGATTGCATCATCTCATTGACTCGAAGGCAATCCTTCACACCAAACATGCTTGTAGTGACAGTGGAGAGGAAAAACTCCCTTTTAACAGGAAGGAATCTCCAGCAGAACCAGGCTAAGTGTGATCCAAACACAGCCAAACCTCCCCAGTAAATTTAGTATAATTATTGGTAAAATATGACTTGTCAAACTTAATAAGTGCATTCATTAAACTGCATTATATATGTGCTAAAACACGCTTGTCTTTTTTTGGAGCAGCCGGATGCTGCCTGTCTGTCTCTAAAAGAAATTCCTGTTGAGGTTGAGCCTCTGTCTATTGAAGTAAGCAGCCAGAAAGTAGAGCTGTGATTGGATAACATGCCAAAATACGTTACTTCCAGTGCGGCTAAACCTCTTAGAGGGTCTATGTAGCAGGGGCAGGTTGTGAAAGTTGTGAGTGCTAGATGCTGCTTAGGAAACATACTTAAGGATTTTTGACTGACAGTGGCCAGACAGTGAGGATCTTTTCCTCATGAGTCCAGAGGGAAAAGTGATCATTCAGTCATAACAGTCGTCTTAAGATGAACTCTTGCCGATGTTTCTGGAGTTAATTATTTCAGAGAACAGCTATTTTCACCTGTTATAGTAATATGTTTTATGTGTTCCAACATTTGCTGATGCAATACATGACGTTTGGATTTATTTACACCATTGAGCCACCCCTATTTCAGCGATCAGCAGGCGCCACTGGTTTAAATAAATCCCACAGTTTAAACATGCCTGTGACGTCAAGAAGCCTTTGTTTTGAGGATTACTAGTGAGAGAGAGTTAAACCAATGTTTAATCTGTTGAGAAATCCCTCTGCTGTTCTTTGTGCCAAAATGATGTAGTAAAGTGGACTATGACTTATTTTCCTCATTCTTTCTAGGTACTGGCCATTTGGTCAAGATGGTTGTAATTATCATGCCTTCCAGGGGATGGTATCGGTTTTGGCTTCGATCAGTTTTATGGCTGCAATTGCTTGGGACAGATATCACCAGTACTGCACCAGTGAGTGAACTGAGCTTTTTTTGCTAGATCACAAAAGTTGCATGCATTATGATTTCCCTTCCCCAGCTGAGAGGTACGCCTTTTTAATAAATTTGCCTTTGTAATAAATACAGAAATAAAAAAATGACAGGCATAAATAAATGGCGTTGAAGAAATATATAGGATAAAAAAATACAAAGGAAGAATAAAACAGACAAAAAAATTATATCATGCACATAAATAAATACTTTAAAAAAATAAGTAATAAACAAATACATTTGAAAATTATAATGGACAATAAATAAGTATGGTAATAATACAAAGGCGAATGAATAAAGAAGCTAATTAAAAGAGTTATATACATTTATGTCTCACTGTATGATTTAATTTCTACCTACATTTATTAGTTTATTGTATTTTGTGGGGGAAATTATTTGTATGCTTTTTTATTTATTGAGCATTTATCTATTTCTGTATTATTTTTAAATATGGCAGAGTTGGTCCTCCATAGGTATTCGGCATGCATTGACAACTGAATATAGAACATCTATATCAGAACACCTCAGTGTATAAATAATTATTACTATTATCATTAATTGAATAAGATATTTTAGCTAAATCTAAAGGCTTTACAAAGGATTTTGTCAGAGGTATCAAATTATGGGTTAAGTAAATCAAGTTTCTACAGATAATAAACTTAATTAATTAAAAAAATATATTGTTCTGTCAAAGGTTGGGCTCTGCCTTAGGGACTAGCGATAGAAACTAGCGTTGGCTTTAATCTCTCATATTTACATTGTGGTCATTATTATGGATTGTTGCTTTTTTAATAAATTAATACTAAATATTAACCATAGTTGCAACAATTAAGAGATAATTCTTTCATTGTGTTTTAGAAACATTCTTCACTTATAAACTCAGTTAAAGATAAGGTTATTGGTTTTTAAAGTTTTAAAGAGACACAAAGTATCCAATCTATGCGGAAAGGTCTCTTTATTATGAAAAAAAAAAACAATTGTTTTAGAGGAAATTATCTCTTTTGCTCCTGATAAAGCCACATTTTCCAGCATTAGTTTCTACATTATTTACTTTAAAGCACACTGGGATTCTTGACTTATAAAGGGTGTAATATAAATAAAGTAAATAAAGCTTATAGGACCAGTTTTGTCCCTGATCAAGTCAGAAGTTGCCTAACTAAGCCACTAATCCTGCTTTATAGCTAAGGCCTTGGTTCAAATTATTGCAAATAAGGTCTAATCTAAAAAAAAAAAATCTATATTTTATATTTTCCGGCAAAAAATTGGAATGTTTTTTTTTTCTTCTCTATTTTCTATCTGACAATGTCAACATACGTTTTTAATAAATAGTCTTTACTCAGATTGAAAAACTCTGAATAAGGACATCAGTACAAACTTTAGGGATAGCATATTAATCGATCTTAGCCTTAAATAATGCATTCAATTAACTCAGTTTTTATATAATAAAACCAGACTTTGAACTTTCTTTTAAATTTAATTTATTAGAAAAAAGAATGAACAGCAAATTGATTAATCTTCAGTTTAAAAAAAATGTTATTTCCAAATGCTGTAACCTAATCTAACTTAAAATCTCAGGGCAAAAACTCTTCTGGAGCACAACGGTGACAATGAGCTGCATCATCTGGATTCTCTCCATATTTTGGGCTGCTGTTCCACTCATGGGCTGGGGGGTCTATGACTTTGAGCCAATGAGGACATGCTGCACCCTTGACTATACCAGAGGAGACAGGTAGCTGTTTAAAATTACATATTATTCTGAGACTGATGCTCTGATGAATGGCAGCTACAATAAGTATTTCACTCCACAATGTATAACTGTAATACCCTTTTCTTTCCCACAGGGATTATATTACCTACATGCTAACCTTGGTGGTACTCTACCTGACTTTCCCAGCTGTCACCATGTTGTCATGCTATGATTCCATCTACAAACACTTCAAGAAGATTCATCATCACAGGGTAAAGATGCTGAAAAAAATGTTCAGTGCAGAACTGAGTCCAGGTAGAGACAAATATAGGCAGGAAATGACTGATAGATGTAAACATAGAGAGATTAAAAGTCTGTCAAAAGTCTGTTATTATTATTTTTATAGCATATTTTGAAAACATGCTGATTAAAGAAGTTAACTACTAGGTAAAGAATAATATAGGCATTATCATATAGGCCATATCTTTCCAAGCAACATTTGTGAAAACCCCATTTTGCTGACTAAAGATTTTATGTATAAGCATTTGACTTGACTTCTGTTTATTGCATACAACATTTTTTTAAACAACATGTTGCATGTGTTGTTCTGGAGCTAGCTCACAGTTAGCTCTATATTTTCTTTACTATAGATCTGGATCAATAACATAAAAAATGTTGAACAAAGCATTTCAGATGCAGTTCAGACCTTCAAATTAAATTTAGTAGGTTAAACAAAATAATGCCTAAAAATGTAAGGAGCTAAATAATTTTTTGGGGGCTCCAAATTACTTGAACAAATTAATTACATTATTAATAAAAAAATACATACACTGTCGTTTCTGGACTATAAGCTGCTACTTTTTTCCAATGCTTTTAACCATGCAGCTTATATGACGGTGCGGCTTTTCTGTGGATGTTTCTGGAAGTCAAAATTGGAAATGAAACTTTACAAATTCACACATTTTGACATTTATTTGCTGCATTAAAACTGCCGAACCAATGAACAGAGTGGGCACAACTTCAGACATCCCAAGTTTTAAAAACTCATTTCAGGGAAATGCTTCAAACTCAATGCTAATGCTGACATTTTGAATCGAAAAAGCTTCCTGGATGGGAAGCGAAATGTGTTCAAACTTGGAAACAAAATCCAGTGGATTGTTTTTTTTTACTTTTTTAGAACTTGCCTTTTATATGACAAAAACTTTTTATTTCAGTTAATGGGTAAAACAACAAACTTTTTGTTAGTGTACAAATATTTATTCACTTACCTTTACTTAGTGCCTTTCCCAGTCAGAATACTCCAAAGAGCTTTAAATTATATTCCGTCATTCACCAATTCATGCACTGAGGGTGGCAAGCTAGATTGTTGCCACAGCTGCCCTGGGACACGCTGACAGAAGACAGGCTGCCGTAAACAGGTGCTACTGGGATTATAAGTAGTTTCATTTTTTTGCTTTTTTTCTACACATCTGGGACTGGATAGAAAATTAAATTAAAATTATGGGCAGTGTCATATGACTTAAAGCAAGCGTCCCTTAGCCAAAAGTAGTATACTTGAAGTAAATTCTATATTAAGAATACTTGAGTATAAGTTTAGAAAGTATACCGAACAAAGTACTTTTAGTGTACTTGAAGTATTACTAAAGTAACACTTCTTCGAACTAAATTGGGACATTTTTAAGTTTACTAAAGTATACGTAAAGTATACTTTAGTAAACAATAATGTAAACAATAGTATAGTCAAGCACACTTGACTATTCTATTGTAAAGTATATGAAATATAGTTTAGAATAAATAAACTCTAAGTGCTCTGCCTGATTTTAAGTATGAAATTAGTGCACTTTCAGTATACTTGAATAAACTACTTTTTGCGAAGGGGTGGCTCAAATGGTTGACTCCGCCCATATTTTGGTTTAAATACTGTAAAAGGTTGTACCCTTTTTTAGGTCACTTAATTAATTTTTGCATTGTGATGAAAAAAAAGATACAAATTACTTTAGATTTTACTGACTTTTGTAAGAAAGTTTTAAGATTTTTCTTGAATTTTATATAACATGAAAATAATCATGACAGACTTTTTTTTTTCTTGTATATAAATTCTGTTTCACAGATTCCATATCTCTGCAATGTAGCTTAGTAATGCTGGACATTAGGAAGCATTTTGGTGCTTCTAACTTTAACCACAGGACACCGAATACACAGTATGTAATACATGTCACTTATTTTCCAGTTTAACACCAGTTTGCCTTTGAGGGTGATGCTGATGTGTTGGGGCCCCTATGTCCTCATGTGCATCTACGCCTGCTTTGAGAATGTTAAGCTCGTCTCTCCAAAACTTCGAATGGTAAGTTTTTATTTGGTTTAATACATGTTAATTCATCCGAGAATCCAATCCAATATATATATATTTTATATATATATATATATATGTAATTTTCTTCCATCCTATAATATCTTATTAAAGTTCTATGTTTTTGTACACATTTTGAAAAGTAAAAATTATTTTTTGATTTTTATTATCATCTCATCTATACACTAATCTAGAAAATCCAGTAATTGGCTTCTTTTCCATATGTGGGCTAAATTGGTTCTACTGCTATTGAATTTTATTTTTACTTGCCAAAATATTTTTTCTTTATGTTTTAAAAACAGCAAATGTGGTTTAATTCTGTAAATAGAAACAGAAAAAGCAAATTTTAGGGAAAATGATGGTATCTAATAGACTGATTTTATTGTTGGCCTGTAAAGCTAAACCGATCAGTAAGTTTTAATTCAAAGAAGTCTAAATACTCAAAGCTACTCTTCCATTTGGAGAATAATGGTCAAGTTTTCCATTTCTTGATTGTCCCTCTAAATGCACACAAAATGTTTTTTTTTTTTTTTTTTTTTTTTTTTTTTTTTTTTTTTTAAGGTGCTTCCAGTTGTTGCAAAGACAAATCCTATCTTCAACTCCCTTCTCTACTCGTTTGGAAATGAGTTCTACCGAGGCGGCGTTTGGAACTTCCTCACTGGACAGAAGATTGTTGAGCCAGATGTGAAGAAGTCCAAATAAAAAAAATTAAAAATGCACCTCCCAGCAAAAAATGTTAAACTGTAACTTGCTGTTATTGTAGGGCTCCTCATACTAACACTAACTAATTACATTGTTTCAAAGCAATTTAGATGTTCGCTCACTTGTTCTTCTTTCCCTTATTTAGATGACAGTAAATCATCAGCATAGTCTTTCTGTATGAGCCTATCCTCGTATTGGATTAGTGTAATTTAAGATGTGCTCCTCAACATGCATGTTCTTTCATCTACATTCAATTAGTAAAGAAATGCTGCTGCTGCTGCTGCTTGTCTGTTGTGTGCTGTTTTAAAGCTGATAAACCTGGTGACGTCAGGTCTGTTTAAAGCAAGGATGCAGTTACTGTGTTAAGACTATCTTATAGAATTACACCACACCTGAGGTACAGTAAGTCAGATCACTTGTTTCACATACACTCCCAGTATTTCAGCAGATTCATGATGGAATACGTTTGTAGATCTTGTAGAGGTTCATATCGAATTTGATTCTACTTTCAGTCCCTGTAAAGGACGGTGCAAATTCAGCCTTTTTGGTCAATGGCAATCAATTTGGTCAAAGGTAAATGATAGAGGTAGTATTAGTTTATAAGAACAAATTTTTAAAAAATATCTAAAGGAAAGTTTAGTGTACAAAGAAGAGGATTCAGAGATTTAAACAAAGGTTTAGTTTTTTTTTGTTCATGCAAGAGATTCATTAGTCATGGATGACTAAGCCCATTGTCTGTCAGTACCTAATTATAACCACACTACAAATAACCTTTAAAGGCAAAGTCTTAGTTACACTAACCCTAGTGCTCTGGCCTAGAAGTTGATCGTCAGCATGTAAAATCCTGTTAGTGGCAGCCTATTGGAGAACAAGATGATCATTTCTGATGCAGCTTTTAACGTTCAGCTTTAAAGGAAGGTGTTACCAGTTTGTAAAAAATATTCAAGTTCATAGCTAGGGATAAAATTGGATTGTGTGGCATTTCTATGTATTTAAATGAAACTAAGTGCAATCAATCGTCATTAGACAAGAACAAAATCATAGCAAAAGCGTGAAGTAAAACATGGTCAGAAAATAGAACCATAAGCCAAGATTTAACATCTGTACAAGTACTTTTCAAACTTTTCACAGGTGGGCAAGACGATGGATGTGGAAAAAATGTAAACGTTTTTATCCAATATGGGGGTACATACATGAAAAAGTGTGTTAGCTGCAGGTTAAATCTATTCTAGGGCTTTACTTTGATAGTTTGTCATTAAATCAAGGCAAATTGTTTTGTTCAATCAAAAATAGGTAAAGAGATGTTATAATGTAGGAATAGAGGAAATGGAGAAAAAATATGTTAATGGGCTTAAGTGCTAATAATTAATAGTGTTGGGACCTTAAGCTAATCCCACACATTTTCTGACTAGGAGTTTAGAGACTTAATTAGATTCTGATGCCATTCTTAGGTCCATTACTTTCTCTCACTAGGATTTCAACTTCAGGTGTTTTTTCCATCTAACAGCAAAAGGAAAAGCATAAATTTGTACATTTTGGTCGTATTCAATTTGAAGTTCTAACCGCTAGAAATATTCCATCTTTTTAGACATTTTGGGTAATCATTGTTCTTCATTTATGATCAAACTCTCATGTAGGGTTTTCATCTTTTCTTACAAGCAGTGTACTTTTTTTTATTGCTATCTGACAGGCGCCACCTGTTTTGCCTTTGTTGGTACTATACCATTTATTGAGTTTTTGGTGTAGGTGACTTCTGTAAAGCTGTATCTCTAAAGAAAAGACCAACATTGTTAAATAATCACTGCCCTAATGAGAAGGTTATACATGACACGGACAAAAAAACAAAACAGAAACAAATTAGTGTATATATACGGTAATAAATATCCTTTTAAGTTCAGCTGTCTCCTCATTTACCTGGATTCTTGAAGGTTTCCCCACAAGACTGAAGAATCCAACAGATTAGCACCTAATTCCAGGTAAAAGCCGTCTGATTGGCTGATCTCTGATCAGAAATGTGTGGGTGTGGAGCAGCGATCTAATTTGGTCAAAGCTTTGGATAGAAATAGTGACCACACACACTGAGGCAGACAGCTTAAATCTAGCTAAACCAAACACACATTCTGGTTTCAATTTGGCTTCAATATCTTGTTCCAGAGTGGGGATATAGACATAGAGAAAAAAGATAACATTGTTAAATATGGATCATATTAAAATTCTGTCCCAATAGAACCAAGATTATATTTAACCCTAAATCCCTAAAATCTGCCTCCTTTGTTAAATGCTGCATTATTTACACAATATATGGAGCCCTTTAAGGGACCTCTAAGATGAAAAAGATGTGAACATGTTAAAAACTATTAATATTTAGATTAGAAACAAATAATATTGTCCTTAAATAAGTATACTTAAAGAAAACATCCTTAGGGATAGACTTAGCATGTTGTAAAAAAAATAAATAAATAAAAAAAGATTTTAACCCAGCAGCAGTGGATCTTCCTACACTATCACCCCGGCAACAAGCATGTTTACTTACTGAAGACAATCTAGGACAAGGGTCAAAGCTAATTAGAGAATAAGCAAAGGTCAGTGTAAATCCTTTGAACATTAACAATGACTTGTACAGGTTAGATTATATCACAGACTAGTTAGAGACATCATAAAGAATCACAGTGATTGATTATGTAATTCTGTATTTTTAGTTCTAGTAACAACTAGAGATTAGAAAACCCCATTTTAACTCTTCACTACAGAGCACTTTAAAGAAAGCAGATTTACTATGACATATTTTCAAGGGGATTAGACTCTTTTTGCATAAAATGAGATGACTCCTTCCTCTTCCACTAAATACTCTCCTAGTCACACATTAAATTTAAACACAAAATCAGGAATTCAACCAAGAGGATCATGCTGACACTTTTCTCTCTGACTGTGCCAATTTGAAATAATTAGTGAGGAGGAATTCGCCTTACAAATCATCAATACCACATAGCTGCACTGCAGGATTTTATACTAAAACAGTGTTTATGTAATAGCTGCTGCAGCACCAACCCTCTGTCATGAGAAAGAGTTATTTCCAGTGATGTACTAAGCCTTCAGTTGGTGTATATGTTTTTCTGCCTCAGATAATCCAATGAATATTGAAAGCAGTATTCAATATGACCAAGTGTTTTAAAGTGACTGCAACATGCCATAGAAATCATGACTGAAAAAGTGCATATGGTTAAGGGAAGATTTCAGTTGTTTTATATGATTTTTATCCTTCTTTTTAGTATTATCAACAAGATTCAAAATTCATTTTGTTATTTTCATTCCTTTAAAACATTAAACATTTAATTTGTATATTTTAAGGACTTTTAATGCAGATTTCTCTCAGGAACAGTAGTCACAGTAGGCTATATGTTGCCACCTAAAAGGCATTCTTGTTACCAAGAGTCTTTGCTGCCCTCTTCTGGAAATAAATGTATAGTTGTTGACTATATACAACTTTGAACAAAATCTGGAAATGCCTAATATTCAAAAGCACCATATAATTTTTTTGGTAAGTTCTTTTTATTCTTGTGAAGCATCTTTGGTTGTTGATTTATAGATAAATAAATAAAAAACATATGCTAAGTTACACTGAAACAGCCTAATCTTCTTCAGTTTCTGTCTAGTTTTATTTTGGACAATTAAAAATAGCCTGTAAGATCATTTAAAGGCTTGTAGAGTAAGATATGGCTTAACCTCATAAAGGTTAAAATATCATTAAGCATTTATAAAGAGAGAGGGGACAGAAATGGGGAAATTCGGATTTCTCTTATTGAAAACCTAAAAAATCATAGACATCAAAACCTTGGTATCAACAAGATAATTATTATTATTATTATTATTATTATTATTATTATTATTATTATTATTATTATTATTATTATTATTATTATTATTATTATTATCATTATTAATAGATGCAGGTACATCTGGTAATCATCTGCAAAACAGTAAAGGGTATTATTATTATAAGGATATTTGGTGAATAATCCCTAAAGGGTGAAGGTACAAGCATGCAAGTTCTCTTTTACAAGATATATATCTATATATAGATATATATCTTCCAACCAAAAAACTTAATTAGAAGTACAAATGGTAATATGTATCCTTTTTTTACTGTATGTGCCTGTTGATGTTCACCACACGGTGGCACTGGTATTCAGAAAAAACAGAGCTGTCCTTTCTACCAGTATTTCCAATCCCAGCTCAAAGGTATACCCAGATTTCTATTAATGGATTTCCTTGGAGACACATGCTTTGATGGAATAAATACACATATACTTTATGTCCACATAATCCTAACATAACCATATCAATTCAATCCTGTGCTCAGGATAAAATTTCCTTAATAGGGTTTTTAAGTTTAAAAAAAAAAGTGCATATTTGTGAAGTGGGGGTTGATTGAAACATGATTTTCTATTATTTTCATAAAGAAAAGTCTGGGGGGGGGGGGGGGGGGAGGGCAAGTTGCATGGCTTAGTTGAGGCAATACTACTGCAAGTAGACAAATGAATATGTTTTTTTTCTAATCTTCTTTCCAAAATAGCAAAAAGTCTGATTGGACTAAGAGTGGTGATGAAAGTGTATTTACATGCATTGCTACAGTTTCTCACTTTGATTTAGGTTTTTACTTTGGACTATTTGAACACATAAAAATGATTTTGATCTTAACAAATGAATTGTTGTTCTAGAGGTATGGTATTGTCACTGCTGTAGAAAGTTATTCTTACTGTATAGCACTGACATGTCTCTCGATGTTGTAATAGTGTTTCCAGGGTGATGTGTACTTTCGTTTATTTCCCCGGTGTTTACATGCAAATCAAAAGCTTCAGTTTTGTTCTTATTTGACCATAACCAGTTCTGTATGTTTGCTAAGTCACCGAAATGGCTTGTGCCAAGCTGCAACCTACAAGTCTTATGATTTGTCAATGTATTTGTTGTTTATTGGCCTGCTTTTTGTTTGGAAATAACCTGACTAGATAGATTAATAATGTCTAGCATTCAGGTTTAGTTTTACACATCTCTGAATTCTCCCATCCAATCTGTTTTGGGAAAGGAAGGAAATTTAGCAGAATCTTTCAAGCTGATTGGACAAAGTGGCAAATTGTACTCACCTACTAGTTTGGTTTCAGTAAAAGAACTCTTGCAAATGAAACAGCAGCAGACTCCAAGAGGAACCACAGAAATGTATGCTTTTATGCCTTTTTTAATCCTATTTGCAAGATGGATTTAGAGAAAAAGAAAGATGTTATAGCAGCAGCTACGTAAGTCATTTTGCATTGCCGTGCTTTTTGGGGGTTTACTGTGGGCTTGGCATCTCTTGCTTTCATCACAGCCTTTTCAGAATCTGCTGGACCTACACGTAATGCTGCAAAGCCTCTTCCCAGAGAGAAATTGAGAACAGTCCATTGTGGGGGTGTGAGGGCTCATTGATGATGTTACAAACTCACGACACGCACCACTGGGATGACATGTCTTTGATGGAGTAATGAGGAGTCCCGATGATCCTCTGTGCTGTTCTCACCACTCTTCTCACCTTCTTCTAGTCTGAGGCGCTGCAGCCTCCACACCACACAGTGAGGTCAGAACGCTCTCACGACACAGCCCTGAGGGGAGTCTATGCCTAATTAGGCAGGGAATTCTATATTCTATTTAAATTGGATTCAATTCATTTATTTATAGAGTTCCATTTCACAACACAAGTCATATCAGGGTGCTTTACAGAGACAATAAAGTCAGACTGGTTAAAAGTTTCTATCAAAGAAAACCAGTTGATTGCATTGAGTCATTGACTTGCAAGACATTTTTCTCCTAGATGAAGATGCAGCTCCCTTCCGTCGCACCCAAGCATGCATGCAGAAATAGTGGAGAGGTAAAGCCCCTATTAACAGAAATAAATTTCCAGCACAACCTGACTCAGTGTGAGCAGCCATCTGCCGGGGTCAACTGGGGTTCAAGGAGACAGACGCATACAGAAAAAAGCAGAGATACAAAAAAAAAAATAGCTCCACGGTTGAGGCCCCGTCCAGGAAAGACACAGCCAGGTAGACGATCTCTGTGCCAGTTGCAATGTCAAGAACAGGAGTATAGTGAAAATATAGGGTCAACTCCAAGAAATTTAAACAGAGATGTTGATAGCAGCAGCACATCTGACATTTCAATCAAGGATGGAGTCACAGTCAAACAGAAAAACCCAGGTGAGGCTACTATGACAGGAAAAAGCAGAGAGAACATAACATTTTAGGTGGAAATATTGCAGATTGGGAGAATAGAGACAGAAACAAGCAGACCGATGAAAAGTGGTATCTTTGTCCTACAGCAGCATAAATACCAGGTATGGAAAATAAAAATAGTCAAAAACATTTGATTATCAATAAAGCAAAATTATTTCTTTAATACAATGCAGTGCCGTTTTTATATTATCCTTTAGTCTTGCAATATTTAAAAACTTGCATAGAGGTTTAGGTTAATAATTAGAAAGCTTTGCTTGAATTGCTTTTTTTTAATCCAAAAACATACAGTAGGACAAATACACAAAGTAGGATATCTTCACCAGACCAATTTTTCTTTGACAAAATTGATTAAACTGTCAGATTTTGTTTATTTTTTATTATTTTTATTTCATGGTAATTTAATTTGAAATACCTGAATAATGAAGTGCAGATAGATAGATAGATAGATAGATAGATAGATAGATAGATAGATAGATAGATAGATAGATAGATAGATAGATAGATAGATAGATAGATAGATAGATAGATAGATAGATAGATAGATAGATAGATAGATAGATAGATAGATAGATAGATAGATAGATAGATAGATAGATTATATAATGATAAAGAATTTATTAAATAACTGAAGATTGGCATTAATGAGAATGTGTGCACAGTGGGAAATAAAGGACTATTCTGTTGCATTTTATGTTTCATCAACACTAAACAAAAAAATCATTACTTAAAGTCAAAATTATGACCATTATTCTCCTTCTAATAAAGGTTAATGTTCTAATTCCTTATTTTATAATCATCCTCTATGACGTTCTCTCTTTTTTGTGATTTAAACAGGCTTCCATAAATTAATCACAGATGCAAGAAAGTGTCTTTTCTGAGCCTGTGTTTGGTTTTCTGGTCATCTCTTGCTCTCATTGGTTAAACTGATTGAAGAATTACCATAAAGAGGGCAAGTGGTGAAGAGACCCACTCGGTGGCAAGCTGGTGATGCGTCACAGCTTAGGAGAAAAAAAGGAGGTGGGAGAAAAGAGAACTAAAATAACGAAGAACCTGCGGGTTAAAATGCACCAATGGCCACCAAGTCATCCGCGGTCTCAAAGTGGCAAGAAGAAATGGACTACAGGTGATCACTGTAAATGCTGGAAGTAGTGGCTAAATCCATCTGGAAAACTTCGCCATGTGAAGAAACACAAAATATCTGCAAAGTTGCATAAATTACTTTGCTTTAACCACGTCACTCCTCGGGAGATCATGAAAGTGCATCGCATGAGGACAAGAGGAGAAAGCTGAAGAAAGACATCTTCACCGATGAGGCAGCCAAGTTCCTCTGCGCCTCTCCTTTTACGCACAGGCGCGGCGAGGACGGAGAGCACAACATCGAGACGCTGAAATATCGAAAGCACAACTACAATTTTTTTTTAAATTAAAAAACTTTTAATCATAAAAAAAGAGGAAGAAATAAAGAAAGAAAGCACATCATGGATGCAGAAGGAGGATCATTCGGACTGGCCAAATCAGCTGCCTTAAAACTATCCGAAATGGGTGAGAGGACCAAGAAGCTGGGCTCCGCGATGAAAGACCCTCACCAGCAGAAACGGATCATATTAGTGATTGTTTGCGTGGCTCTGCTGCTGGACAATATGCTCTATATGGTCATTGTACCAATTATTCCCGACTACCTTGCTGATTTGGAGAACGAGCAGTCAGAACACGTTCACCTAGTGCTGCACCCCAACACTTCTTTAGCCAACAGCACAAATGAAGACAAAATCAACAAGGATAACTTGGACATCCAAATAGGAGTCCTTTTCGCCTCTAAAGCCATCCTGCAGCTCCTGGTCAACCCACTCACTGGGACGTTCATAGATCGAATTGGATATGACATTCCTCTCCTCATCGGGCTGAGCGTCATGTTCGTATCCACCTGCATTTTCGCCTTCGCTGAAAACTATGCCACGCTGTTCGTGGCCAGAAGCCTCCAGGGTCTGGGTTCTGCTTTCGCAGACACCTCGGGCTTCGCGATGATCGCCGACAAATACACGGAGGAAGCCGAGCGGAGCCGCGCGCTCGGCATCTCTCTGGCGTTCATCTCTTTCGGGAGCCTGGTTGCGCCTCCCTTCGGGGGGGTCCTGTACGAGTTCGCCGGGAAGAGGGTCCCCTTCATCGTGCTCGCCTCCATCTGCCTGGTGGATGGTTTTCTATTGCTTACTGTCATTAAGCCCTTTTCCAACAGGACACGAGAGAACATGCCAGTGGGCACCCCCATCTACAGACTCATGATCGACCCCTACATCGCCGTGGTAGCCGGTGCGCTCACCATGGCCAACATTCCACTGGCCTTTCTGGAGCCCACCATCGCCAACTGGATGGAGACCACTATGCACTCCACTCAGTGGGAGATGGGACTCACATGGCTGCCCGCTTTCTTCCCTCACATCCTTGGTGTTTACATTACAGTCAAACTGGCAGCAAAGAACCCCCATTTGCAGTGGTTCTATGGGGCTCTAGGTATGGTCATCATAGGGGCCAGTTCATGCACGGTCCCCGCATGCAAAACTTTCGGGGAGCTCATCGCCCCGCTGTGCGGGATCTGTTTCGGCATCGCGCTGGTGGACACGGCGCTGCTGCCGACGCTCGCTTTCTTGGTTGATGTGCGTCACGTCTCCGTGTACGGCAGCGTTTATGCCATCGCGGATATCTCGTATTCGATCGCATACGCTATGGGTCCGATAGTGGCCGGGCAGATCGTGCACAACCTTGGCTTCGTCCAGCTGAATCTGGGCATGGGGCTGGTGAACGTACTTTACGCGCCGGCGCTGCTGCTGCTGCGCAACGTGTGCCAAATGAAACCGTCCTACTCAGAAAGGGATAACCTGTTAGACGAGGCTCCGCAGGGGCTGTATGATACCATTAAAATGGAAGAGGTGAGGGCAAAAAAGAAGGGCTACAGTTCAGGCGGTAATTGCTTGTCGGTGGATGAAAATGGGTTCGATTCCTCCAAAGCACAACAGTCCTCCAGTTCAGAGTTTACCTAAACATTCCTACTTTAGGGAGTTTGATTCCCAGAATGAGGCAGAAAGGTCCTAAACTTGTGATTGAATATTTTACATATGTACCTAAAATATAAAACACCCAATCGAAAATCATGATTGTGTGATATTTTTACCAAAGTATTTTCTTTCTTTCTTTCTTTCTTTCTTTCTTTCTTTCTTTCTTTCTTTCTTTCTTTCTTTCTTTCTTTCTTTCTTTCTTTCTTTCTTTCTTTCTTTCTTTCTTTCTTTCTTTCTTTCTTTCTTTCTTCATTGTGTCAAAAAAGTCTACGTGGCGTTCGTCAACAGGAGTTTTTGTGAGAGATTTATCAGCACCTGTTGGATTTGTGTGTGTCTGAATATTTATATTGAAAATAATAATATATATGAATCAACATGTGGGACCAACTGAAACATTAAACAGCACATTTTCCTTCCTTCAGCACAAACATAGGAAATTATTTTCTAGTCAGTTTTGCACATCAAACGGCCTCCGTAAATGGGAGATTTTGTGAATTATTTACCAGATGAGTTTATTTTATTTATTTATTTTTTGATATTTGAAGGTAAACGTGTCATGATAAATTGTGGTATATCTGCACAATGGAAAATTGTTTACGAGTGTGGGTGCGTGCGTGTGCGCATTTTGTGAAGACGGTGAAAACAACTATGTCCTGAAAATGAACAAATTTGTTATTGTTTTTATGTTTGTTTTTCTGAATGAGCTGTTGTTTAATAAATCTCTGTTTGAATCTGTGTGACAGCAATGGTTTGGTTTTTATTTCATGGTAATTTAAATTAAAATGCCTGAACATGAACTGTAGATAGATAGATAGATAGATAGATAGATAGATAGATAGATAGATAGATAGATAGATAGATAGACAGATAGACAGACAGACAGACAGACAGACAGACAGACAGACAGACAGACAGACAGACAGACAGACAGACAGACAGACAGACAGATTTAAGTTGCATGAGTTACTAAATCTTACACTGAAATAAATCCCATAATATTTAATAATTAGACATGTTAAAAGTATAATTATATTAAGTGCAATAACCCGAGGTAGGCATCTGTGACCCTGAAGGAATACGCGTCTGCAGTCATCTGTTGCACAGAGGGACACTGGTGTTAAGTTAGGTAGTAAAGTATCCAAAACACTTTTATAAAACATAGAAGTAGCCCAGATACACTGTTTTGGGGAGTGGCATAAAAAGCAATAATTAAAATGCTAAAAACGCAGAGTAATTAGTGAAATACAATATAGAAATCTGCAACACACTGGTTAATTTTAGGCAAAAGTTAATCAGACTTAAGGAAAGTGCAAAACTTTATTAGGCTATTTAAGAAAATGCACCACAGTCCCTAACTTGTGGGACCATCAGAGTCAAAAACTAGACTCTTTCAATGCATCTAATTTATTGCTGGATGTGAGTGGGGGAGGAGGAGTGGGGGAGCTGTCAGATAATATGTTCCGCGAATTGATTTCGATGGGAGGGGTTTGTTGCCTCAGGGGAGTAAGTGAACGCAAACACCTTCAGCATCTTTTCAAGCTGCGCTTTCATGTGGAGCCGCAGCTATTCGACGTTTGCCCCCCCTCCAACTCCAACTCCTAATATTAGAGTTTCAAGGCAAAGATGAGGGCGGCAATAATGTGAACTCCTGCACAGTCCTCGGACACCCCGAAAGCTGAAGAAACAAGGTATGAGTTACTGGTTCTTTCTTGCAACATGTGATTGGTTTCATTTGGATGTGCGGACAACTTTGACTTGTCTTAGTTTAGACCTATATGCAGGGGTGTCTTAAAAATATCTGAACAGTTAGAAAATATTTATACTAACTTGTATTTTTTCTATATATAAATATATGCAAACTAATTCCAGTTTTTATCATTTCAGAAAAGTGATGTTCATGATGTTTTCTTTATGTTCTATCTTTCATTTCGCACACCATTCAAACTATAAATGGATATTTATTAGTCTCTTCAACCATATTTGTGAAGTGGCAATTAAGACAATGACAATTATTTTTTAATATATGTTGTTATAACATTTTTAACCTATTTTACAGTCCAATTATTTATACGTATGTTTACAATTAAAAGCATAAAGATCTTAACAAGTTAAGAACTTTGAAAATATTCTGGCTGCTTTGAAATATTTGTTGACAATATTTTAAGATAAATATTCTTGTACATTCTATCAATCCTTTTTGAACTTTTCAATAATTACAACCATTGTGAGATAATTTGTTTTTGAGGAACTTTCTATAAGACATTTTTGGTTAAATGTACTGTTCTAAACTTAATTTGACTTAAATTACAATTTATTTTCCGGAATTCTTCAGTTTTGTTTATGTATATAGTTTAGTTGAATACATTAGCGTGAAGAATAGAAAAATTACCAGACGTGTTTTAGACGTTGGTTTTTTTTTAGGCTTAATCTGGTCGGTCCGTCTTGATTTAGTCAAAAAATCTCTGTTGAGAATTGTTTGGTCTGATTTTGTCCCACTTTTTTCCAATAATAGACATTGAAAAAACGTTGCAGAACCAGTTTACAGTCCTTTCAACGATCTGAAAATTATGGATTTTCATCTTTCACTTACTCATGTCGTCTTTACAATGTATTTTCAACCATTTTTTGCTTGGTGAGTTGTGCTTTTTTATTTATATGTGTATTAAAAGAATAAAAAAAAAAAAGTTTTTTAAGGAACGTATTTCTTTCGGTGTGTCCCTTTCACTAAAAAGCCTAAAACATAAATTTTTTTGTCTAACCTGCCAGTCTCTTTAGGAATGAATGATGGGCATTGAGTGTATGAGTTGCATGCCTCGTTGCAGTGGTGAGCGATGGGACGCGGCTGCAATTCAAGGACATTCAGCAAATTGCATTAAGCTGCAAACCGATGAAGAATGGAGGATCGTTGAGTAATTTCCAGACGGTGACCATGCATTTCTTAGTGGGACCTAATTTTATTTTTTTTTCCGTTTTTTCTTTTTTACTTCCCACCCCTTTCCACTTTAAATGTCATTCCATATTTTAAAGCAGGGGCCGAACTCTCTCAAACACGGGGTTCTTGTTTGCCCTGAACGGAAGGAACCGCCATCATGTCAGCACTGCAGAAACAAGCAACGAGAGGCCAAGTATGAACATTTGATACCCCTTTCAGTTTAAAATGTGTTTTCTCCATGTTTTCATAAACTTTAGACATTAAACAGCATTCCAGGGATTCAAGCTGAGAAGTAATTCAGCACCGCGGATAGAGCATAAACCAGCAGGGATAAAAATCGACCACTAGGGGTGTACATTATTAAATTATTCACTTTTCAAATTTCATATTTGTATGTAAACAATGGCTTGAAATGTCCCATAATATCTCCATAAACGGGTTTGTTTTGTTAACTGCATTCTTATATCATTGCTTCCTTTAAATTATGGAATTTGGACCCTGATTTGGCTACAGTGCCTTATCAATATTTACCCATTGGCTTATGAACAGTATGCAAAGTATACAATATCAGAGAGAAAGAATAGATTTCCACTCATTAAACTTATGTGGTGTGGCAAATTATTCTCAACTAAGCCTGGAGGCCATTAAGACGAAATATTAACTTAGAAACCAATGATAACAGATTGCTAAAAAAAAACAACAACAACATCTTTACATAAACAAAAATAGATAAACCCTGCAGAAGTAGGTGTAGTGTTTGTTTTTCCCGAATCATAGGCATGAATTTCATGTTATTTCTGGGTATTTAATTATGGACTTGATACATATTTGTTTCACCGTGGACTGGTAATAATTACATGGCTTCTGAAATCTGAATTATTTTTGGACATTGATTTATTACATTTTCAATGCAATCAGAATTTTACAAAACACAATTTCAAATCACATAGACACGCAGTTTTGGTCACAATGAATTTGACAGGTATAAGGAACAAAATTTCTTACTGAAGGCCTTTACGGGGTGGTAATACATTTAAAGTGGGTTTACTGCCATGCAGAAGAGCTGAGAATGTTTCAGGTAGTATACTTTTCCATGCATTTAAGTAGATGTAGGCACTTTCCCAAATGATAGTAGTCCAGATAATGGATTCTGGACAAGCATGCTTTCAAGGTCATTAAAAACAATGAAACATTTACATGCTTGTGGTTAGTGCTAAGAGCAATAAAAATAAATTCACAATTACGATTTTGGTTGAAATAAAATTATCTCATTTTTAAACTGTTTGTTTGACTCACATGCAGGAACACTTCCAAGGGACAGATAAAGTTTAACAGTTTATTGAACAGACAAATTATGTGCAAAAACTAGTCCAGAGGAGGGGACGAGGTAACCAACCATATATCAGTGCTTTAAAGAAGAAGACACAGGAAAAGACGAGTAATTACAACAAAGTAATAGAAAACAGGTTTTGATCCAGAGAGGTTACTTTAGCTGAACGGAGATTGTTGCCTGGACTCCTGTGAGGCACTAGGAATTGAGGAGGATAAGAGCACGCACCAGGTTCAGTGGCAGATACAGAAAGCATGGTGGAGAATGGATGGTGTGCAACCAAATACTAGTGGGGAGTGTTAAGAAGATCAGAGCTGCCAGTCAGGATGAGATCTGGAACTTTCTGAGTTTTGTGGGTTTTGATTTCAAGCTTGCAATGGGTGACAGAGATTAAAGGTCAACTCAGCTGTAGTACAAGCGAGAAGATCTCCCTGGTGTCCACTATTGGTGGACCGCTCTTACGGGAAACTAGGCAGTTAGCAATAAAATGCTCAGGAGGTCAAAAGTGCATGCAAATCTTATCCTCTCTGGGTCCTTGTCATTCTTCCGGAGTTAACCAGGTACGACCAACCTGCTTAGGCTCGGGCTCCACAGCTACAGCTGACTGTGTAATGGGTTTCAACATCAGTGGGATTTTCTCTTCTGTGCTTCCTTCGTTCATTTAGTCTAATATCAATTCTTGTGGCTAAAGCAATTACCTTGTTTTTCCTCTTGGGTTCTTCTTGAGTGGCCAGTTCATCCTTGAGCTTCTCATTCATGGACTTAAAGAACACTGCTTTAAGGGCCAGTGAATCCCAGCCAGAGGCGTCTGCATAAGTGCGAAATGCACTGGAGTTCTTTGGGTACAGAACGAGTTCCCTGTTAAATACACCAACGTTTATGGTACAAACTAGTCTGTTCAAAATCTTTTGAACGGGTTGGTTTGAACACTTCTAAAAATTCCTTAAAGTTGTTTCCAATTTATTTGGATTATCAAATCTGGCTTCAGCATATCTTAACGCTTTACCTGGGATTATCCTTAGAGTATATGAAATCTTCACAAGGATACACTTGTGGGGAGCAGTTAAATACCAGAAAGCATTCTAACTTCCGCTGCCGGTTTATCCAGAAAATTACTCTTGGTTGGGTGAGCTGATGTCTTGGGGGGCGATGATTTTGTGGGTCACAGGTGGTACCGAAGAAACCATTTGAAGGACAGGAAGACTGGTTACGTTGCATGATTGTAAGCTCATATCTTGGTTCAGGTGTTAATTTGTGGAATATTGCTGGTCACATAGCTCTCATTGTATCTTTTAACGAGACTTAATGGATTGTGAATGTTCAGCAATTCAGGGATCAGACTCAGCTAGAGTACCAGCCAGAAGTGCTCCCTGGTATCACATAATGAGCAAAACAGGAACACCACAACACACACTCCCAGAACCACAAAAAATAAAGTTTAGATTTCTGGCAAAAATCACGAAAAATTATGCACACACTACAGACTCAAACATATACAAACACAAGCACAAGCAATAAGATGTGTGATGATAGATGTCTGCGCAAGTATGTTTACTGTGACCATCACCTAACATAACTTTTTTCTGTATATTTGAACCTTCTTTAACTTCAAATAACCCCGGTAAAGGGAATTTACTCAAGCTAAAATTAACCAAATGATACTGTACTGTACTGTCCACAGTCAAGCAATTTTTATATCAACCAAGACAAAGACGATACCAACAAAGACAGAATTATTTCCTCCAAAAGAAAACTACTTTAAATTTGTAGATGTCTGATCACATCAAAAAGCAGTGTCTCATCTGGATAACATACTGCTCCTTTTGAGTGTTTTTTTTTTTTTTCCAATGAAGGAGATTTAAAGGACTCCTAACCAAATGCACTTACTCTATTTGAAACTGAATACACGACTTTCCTCCATCCATCCATCTTCGCAAGTCTATTCTGTCAGGGTGGTGGTGGGGTCGCGCCTACCTCTGGCAGTCTATAGGCAAGAAGTGAGGTACAGCCTGGACAGGTTGCCAGTCTGATGCAGCTTAAATAACTTTAAAAGATAAATTAGTTGAATTTAAAAAGGTCATCTAATTCAAAGCCAAACAAGAATAGTTTGAATCAATCTATAAAAGTAAGGAATCCAGAAGATAATCATGCTTTTGGTTGTATTATGATTGATTGTTTTATGTCTCTAATATGTTTCTATATCAGGTTTTGCCAAAGATCCCTGTGCCCCCACTCAAACAAACCCTTGACACCTACCTGAAATGTGTCCAACATCTTGTGAAGGAAGAGCAGTTTAAGAAGACTAAGACCATCGTAGAAAAGTTTGGGGCTCAGGGAGGGGTCGGAGAGATTCTTCAGAATAAACTTTTGGAGCGGAGGGACAAGACATCCAACTGGGTAAAGATTAAAAGAACATTCTTTCAAGTACTAGGTTTAAAACTCACCAAATGAAGTTATTTTATTCTGCATCAGTAAAGCCTCTTGGATATATATCATATATATATATATATATATATATATATATATATATATATATATATATATATCTATATATATATATATATATATAATTATTTATATTTCTTCTTTCTATTTTTGAAAAATTTTAAATTTTCAAAAGTAAGTTCAGTCTCTAAAAAGGATTCATAGAACAATTGTTTAACTTTTGCCACCTCATTTCTCCCTTATGTGTCTGAGTAAGTGGTCCTGCTCAATGAAATCCATCACACTCCCACTCCTCTTTTTATCTGATGGATGATACACTGAAGTGTTTTTCTTTACTTCACTGCCCATTGCTGTTATAGCTGAAATCAATATATATATATTTTTTTTAAAGAGCAACATCTCTAACAAAGTGTCTCTCTTTTCCATACAGGTCTATGATTACTGGCTGGAGGACATGTACTTGAACAACAGGTTGGCCTTGCCTGTTAACTCCAGTCCTGCCATGGTGTTCCAGACACAAAATTTCAGAGACCACAAAGATGCTCTCAGGTACATGCTACTCTTTTTTTTTATTTTGCTTGTAGACAGGATGAAGCACCACAAAGCCAAATTAAACAGTATTAGAAGCAACTACAGCAGGGAAAATAGGGAAACAAAAAAAGATTCCCCAGAAACCGTTTTATGTTAAACAAAACAAGTGAAAAAAGATGAATATTACATACCTCCCAGTAAAATCTGTAGACATTTCTGCGGCTTTGAATTGGGATATAAAACTAATGTCTGGGTCTAATTGGTAAACTGGTCCATGGTACTTCAACTTGTCCAATCAGACTTACAAAATAAACAATCATTTAAGCTATTTAATTTGCATTTCTTTATTCACAACTCTCCCTTTGGACTTTTTCACATATTTTCATATTACAACCAAACACAATTTTTTTCTCGGGACATTCTGTGATTTGCAAACAAGATAGTGCATCATCTTGAATTAGAAGTCACAACATAGATTGTTTTCACCCCCTTTACACAAGAACTCAGGGGTGGATTTACCATTAGGCAATACTAGGCAGGTGCCTAGAGCCCCAAGTTCCTGGGGGCCCCATAAAACTCTGTTCTCATGTATGGTTAAAACAAATATTCCTTATTTGTGCACATTACGTTTTTGATAAAAAAAAATATTTGTCTAATTGCCATCAGAACGCTTACTATATTAAGTTTATCTCAGCCCCCCCTTCAGTATCAACCATAATGGATCAGTCCATTTGCTGCACATGTTCAGAAAGGTCAGAACGGACAGCAGCAAAGCATTTGAAAACAAACGGTGCAAAGAGCAGTGTTGCCAACTTAGCGCTTTAGTTGCTATATTTAGCCACTTTTCAGACCCCTCTAGCACTTTGATTTCTAAAAAGCTCCTAGCGCCAAATCTAGCGACTTTTTTCTGCTACTGGAGACTTTGGAGACAACATCTAAAAGCAGCGAACTCTGCTCTCCAGAGCAAGTAGATTGGTAACCCCGCCTCCTGCTCTCCTCTATCTTGTCTGCTGTCATGATTCATGCAGCTATTATTTCATCCAAAGGAAAAATGAAGAACAGATAAGTAGATCATGGCTTGTCTACAGTGAAAAGAAGCACTGAGTTATTTACTTTTGCCTTTTTGGAAACACAGGAAGGAGCAATCAGCCAAGTGAGCTTAGTGCTTGGAAAAAATCTTTCATTCCTTTTGAGACAGCATGAAAAGTCAGCTGAGTACAAAACATAGAGAGGAAAACAACAAGAAAAGGGACAAGAAGAGAGGGACAAAACCTAGAACAGATAATGGATGTCTATTCTATTAACATTTCTCTATCTGTAGAATGGGTCTGTTTTATGTGTTGTCTTCTCAGTTCAGAGGGGCCCCCTGCCTGTCTTTGCCTAGGGCCCCAAATTTCCTAAATCCGCCCCTGCAAGAACTGCTGAGTAATTTTACCTCAGTATTAATAAAATACAGCTGCAGTGTAAATTCTTCCATTGTTTGTTAAGCCTGGCATACACTGGACGATTTTTTTGCCCTTTTTGGGCCGATACTCCAGTCATGCAAGGATTTTTATTCGGGCCGAGTTTCAGGCTCCTCGTGCGTCCTGCATCATGTAGTATACAGGTGGTAACAAGAGGCGATTAGCCTCTCACAAATACTTCTCAATCAGAAATTGTTAGGTCGGGAGAAAATCAAACATGTTTAAAATTCAGTCGGCTGGGCATCCTTTGGTGGGGCAGTAGTTAGCGCACATTACCCAAGAACCGAGGCCTCCTTGAGTCGATTTACCAGAACCTTGAGCACTGCATGTGCAAACAAGGGAGTTCTTCTTCAACTGGATAATCGTCCCAAAAGGGGCAAAAAAAATCATTGTACAGTGTATGCCCGGCTTGAGCAGGTAGATCCCATCAGAGCGTTGGCCCGCACAGTGTGAGAACATGCATCCTGAGCTGTGAACTTTTAAACCCTGCGGTTTTGTTGGACAGTTTGAGCTGTAACTGCGTGCAACAATTGAAAATATCGCACAATGTATGGCCAGCTTAAGATAATTTCCCAACCGTAAATCAACTAAAGTGTGCTAAAGTAAGATAATGATTTTTTTCAAAGCATGGTCAGGTGTTAAAATGATCCAAAGTTCAAATCTAAAACATATTGACTATCTGTGTCTTGACTTAAAATTTGATTTTCACATCTCCCTTTTCCCATCTGAATAAATGATGTTTTATTTTTGTTGTTGACACCTAGTACTCTTTAGAAAAAGTATAAAAATTTACAAAGGAAAGTCAAAAGGAAATATATTGCAGCATGCTTCACAGGAAAATTAAATTGTAGCATTTGTTATGCTTTAGAAATAAACATCAATCTTGTCAGTTTCTGGCTGCTGTGATGGTAAATTTCACATTTACTACCAACAGTATAAAAGATACATACATGTTGTGCTCTTCAGCTTTCTGTTTATTTCAGTGGGCTGATATGCTTTGATTAAGATCTGAATTAAAGTAATTAAATGAACCCTGCTTTACCAGGCATAAGAGATGCTTCCAGATCTATGACCCAACATTAGCGTTTGTCAGCTCCTTATCCACTATTTGAATATTTCCAGAACACCCACACACAAAAACAAAATCTGGATACCTTCTGACATGGTCACTCATTAGATCGGGAGTGACAGGGCCAAGTTCTCCACTGAGACCGCCACTCAGGCCTCATTCAGAGGGTGTGGTGTGCTGCATCTGCCTTCTCTGTATTGATTTGGCTTTGAACCGTAATAACACAGAGACAAATGACATACAGCATGAAACCTGACAGGTTTCCCTGGTCACACACACAGAAAGATGCACACACTGTATCCGAGTAATTTACCATGATTTGATTACTGTTAGCCTTTTGAGAGATGGGACTATATTGAATTATACTCACAAACCAATCCTCTTTGTGGCTTCAATGTTTTACACTGAAAATTCAAAGCCTTTTAAAAATGTCATCTGTTTCTGCTCCCCTAAGATTTGCTGCTCGTCTCATCCTTGGAGTTTTAGAGTATAAGGCTCTCATTGATGCGTAAGTCCTGTCTGTAAATCATCACCTACCACACTGTCATTCTTTCAGATTTTTTCCTGAAAACATTTACCTTAACAAAGAGCCAGAGGTCAGACTAAAATATCTGTGATGATACTGTATGTTTAAGGAGAACGCTACCTTTGGATTTTGCTCGAGGCCAGTTAGCAGGGACTCCTCTGTGCATGGAGCAGTACTACCGCCTCTTCACATCCTACCGCTACCCAGGGCTGAAGACAGACACGCTGAAGGTTGACATTAATGCAGCCTCTTCAGCGCCAGAACACATGATCATTGCATGCAAAAACCAGGTCAGTTAAATGGCTGTTAATAAGGCTTTTTACACTAGTTTATATTCGTAACTGATATAATGTCATATTTATTATAAAATAAACAATAAGTGCTTGTAAGACCACTTTGATATTACAGTTAGCTTACTTTTGAAACAGAAGTGTGGGTATACCAATTAAAATATATTTTTTGTTATGTGAAGCTTGTATACCTGTTGAATTAAAGCAACAGGACCGGGTCAGTTTTTCTACTTCCTGGTCCTCAAGTAAATCTATTTTGTGTGTTCAAGGTTTCTCCTTGCTGTCACCCACCTGACTTATATTAATGATTGATTAACAGGCTTCTGCAGCAATTGATGGCTGCTGAGGAGGTCATGCAATCATTTGAATCAGAGGTTCTGCATTGAGATAATTAAATCGTGATTGAATATTATTGGGGACCAAAAAAAAAAAAAAAAAATATATATATATATATATTATTTATGCAGGAAACACATAAGTATTCTTTATTGATGTTGTTATAGTACTAAAAGACACAAACATTATAGGCATTATATATAGGCTCTGAGGTGTGGTCGTAGAGCAGAGGTTAAGGGCTTCGGTCTATGTATGGAGGCCTTGGTCCTTGACCACGCTGTTCAAATCCCAGACCTCTTGACGTCTTCCCTTTCTCTCCCTCCATCCCATTTCCTGTCTTCCTTCTTTCAAAAATTATGAATTAAAAGTCAAAATAAAAGAACAGGAGGCTCCAATCAATTGTGGAATTTACAAGTCAGGTGAAGCACTGTGGCTTTCATCTATGAACCAGTTTCCAAGCGTGTTGGTGCAGAACTATGGTGCTGGTAAAGAACAGGGTTTGCTAAAAAAAAATGTTGTTATTGCAGCACACATTTTGGGTTATGATATAAATTGTGACAGAAATAATAATATCTTTGACACCCAGATGTTTTGGTGAGGAGCCTTATGATCAGGGTCTAAGTTGGATTATAGCAGCTGTTTAAATGTGTCAGTTTAAGTGGTCTGGGCATCCATAAAAGTGCTTCCAATGCAGTTTATTAAAGTGTTCCATTAGTTAAGACCAAGCCTCCACTCCTGTAGGTACATTTTAAGAGTTTCCATTAATGAACAATTGCTGTCTTAACTTCTTCTTTAGAGAACCGGTTATTGTTGCTTCTTTGTATTTTCCAAACAAATATGTTAACATACAGCAGGGGTCTGCAACCTTTACAACCCAAATATCTATTTTTGACTTCAGCCTGGCTAATAAAGCTAGTTCAGAGGCGCCAACATTACAAGACCTTTAAAAAAAAAACATAACTTATATTAATAAATATTTACCATGGGAGGTTTGTCCTTTGGACAATGGTTTGCTGAAATTTGTGGATAACCATGTTATGAAAACAATTAAACTTTTCCGCCACTTATAAAATATTGAAAATTATACTTCTGTAATTTTTAAACTCACTTTATTTAGGAAATTCAATGTGATTAGTCATTAGAGAAAATGCTATAACATGCATTTGTTAGTATATCTACATTTTAAAAAGAAGCTGGCTCTTTATATTTTTTTATCTAAAGTGATTGAGAGCTATTTTCTAAAGACCCACTAGTGTCTCCAGAGTGACAGGTAGCAGGCCCCTGGTCTACAGTATGATGACTGCCAGTTCTTTTTTATTTTTATTGAAACACCTTTTTGATCAAACTTTTAACTCTCAAAAATTACTGTGGCTTGGAATTGATTATCATACATTTTGTCACTGAAAAATGCAACAGCAATACAGAATGTATTTATTGTATTGCTGAACATTTCAAATGCTGACCCAACTTATCATCTGCTTTTCAGCAGCACTTTGATTAGCTGTTCTTCCATTTCCTCAACATGCTAAATATAACTTTTTTTTATGACCTTTCAGCCTTATCGATACTTTTACTATCTGCTGTGATATCACAGAAGCCAGTGCTGATAGCTACATGTTAAATGTCCAAGTTACAAACACATAAGCTTTCATGAAACTGTGTTTTGTTACGGGTAGTTGTTACAGGGTCCATTTGAATAGTTGTTAGACTGTGTAGCAGTGGCCTGGCTGACAAGGAAGTACCAATTAAAATATGTCTTAACTGATGTATTTCAATTCATGATGATTGTGATCGAACTTTTGAGCTGGAAAGCAAAGTTTCTCTGAGTCTTCATATGGATGGATGGATGGATGGATGGATGGATGGATGGATGGATGGATGGATGGATGGATGGATGGATGGATGGATGGATGGATGGATGGATGGATGGATGGACAAAAGGACAGATGGATGGATGCATGCATGGAATTAATGTTGGATGGATGGATGGATGGATGGATGGATGGATGGATGGATGGATGGATGGATGGATGGATGGATGGATGGATGGATGGATGGATGGATGGATGGATGGATGGATGGACAAAAGGACAGATGGATGGATGCATGCATGGAATTAATGTTGGATGGATGGATGGATGGATGGATGGATGGATGGATGGATGGATGGATGGATGGATGGATGGATGGATGGATGGATGGATGGATGGATGGATGGATGGATGGATGGATGGATTAGTAAGTAATGTAATACAGTGTTAAATTAATTGGTATTCTTAGTATTTTGTCAGCTCATGTCATACGCATTCATTTTAGTTAAGGTATCTGAACTGAGAGATATTTGGATGAATGGCATTACTATCATGACTGGACCATAAATACATTATAGGCTTTGATATAGAACCTTGAGATGACTTGTGTTGTGAATTTGTCAGGGTCAGAACAAAAGGACACAGTGTTAACAAAACAAAATGTTTATTTAAGATGGAACTGCAGAGAACAGTGTCTAAAGCAAGAACTTCTGCAGAGGGCAAACACTGTTTAGTGACCATGTCTATCTGGCGGAGGATGATAATAAACGTATGAGTCACTAACCTTGTCTTAAAGTTCATTCGAGTCCAAAGGATGAAGTTAGTTCGAGCTGACAACATCAGTAGGCTGACAAGGTCAGTAGGCTGACAACAACATGTGGCGGGTGCGACCCAGAGTCCCAGGCGCTGGTCTCTTGGTGGTCGGAAGACAAGCAGGAGATCAGAACCGAGAGGACGAAGGAAGGCAAGATAATCCAGAGTGCAAAGCCAAAGCCGGTGTCAAGGACATGCTCAGTAGTTACAGCCAGGAGATCAGAGGTCTGAAGAGGTGCCAAAGGGAAATCCAGGACGAAATTGGGGAACTGTTCCAGGTTCCATAAACAGGCAGGCAGAAATTTGGCAAGAGTCAGAGAACAGGTCAGGCAAACAAATTTTGACTGGCTGGGAATGTTCCTTAAAGATTTCCTTTTAGAAAGAGGAAACCAAATAATTTAGGCCTTTAAGTAGGAAATCAGCACCATTACATCAATCTGCAACCACAGTAATTGACTTTAGATATTGTGTTCTTTTTCTGATATGCTTTTCGATTAAAAAGGAATCAGCAATTTTATAATTTCTTCTTCGTTTTCTCTTTGATGCATTTAGTAGACTAGTTACTCCTAGGAGGACTTAACAGTGTTTCTTGTTTTCTTTGTTGTGGATTATGTTTCACGCTGAGGTTTACTGTCAACCAATATCATTAGAAATAGCTCTTTAGCTTGTTCCAGATTGATAAGTTTAAATCCACTGACTTATAGATCATCCAGAGATCATGCACTTTATGTAAAGTTGTTTCTTGAGTTTTTATTTGGGTACTGCACATAAATCATAAAATCTGTTTTTTCTCCTTAGTTTTTTGTGTTGGATGTAGTGGCAAACAACAAACAGCTCAATGAGACAGAGATCTTATCCCAGCTGGAGAAGATCATGAAAATGTCAGAAAATGCTGAAGAGAGGCATCCTTCTTTTGGGATCCTGACCTCAGACGGGAGGACCGAATGGGCACAAGCTAGAGAAGAACTAATAAAAGGTGACTGACCAGTAAAACATCATCACTTTGTTGATTTGTAAGAATCTGTCAGGCACACAAAAAACACCTCCTTCCTTCTAATATCCAGATCAAACTAACCGGGACTCTCTGGCTCTGATTGAGAGTTCTATATGTGTGGTGTGTCTGGATGAGCCCTGTGGCCTTCCACCCAGCGACACCAACAGGGCTCTGATGATGCTACATGGCGGTGGCCTGGAGCGAAACGGTGCAAACCGATGGTATGACAAATCAATGCAGGTGAGAAAACACTACAGACACTAAACTCCAATTTTACTCTCTCAAACCAGCCAGCTTTTTCATCAGCCTTCTCTCAGTTTGTTATAGGCATGGATGGGGTCTGTGGGGTGGTGTGCGAGCATTCTCCATTTGAGGGAATAGTCATGGTGGAATGCTCAGAGTTTCTTATGAAACACATGTAAGTCAACACCCTGTAGCAACTGCCATCCTAATAATGACATCTGATACAGGCAGTGAATGAAACAATGGTATTTTTTGTTGTGAACAGAACAGGGAGTCCCTCCAGGATGGTTCAGCAGTCCAGCGCTAAAGCTCTCCCCCCTCCAAGAAGGCTGCTCTGGAAATGTAGCTCCAACATTCAAGCTTTCCTAAGAGCATCCGGAGAAAGACTCCAGAGGCAAGACAACACTTCGCCAACCCCTTTTCCACATGTTAAAAAATTCTCGGCCTTGCCAAAGTATATAAATAGATATATATACACACAGTGAGGAATATCATTATCTGAACGCCCTGCTATTTTGCAAGTTCTCCCACTTCGTCATGGATGGGTCTGAATTTGTCATCATAGGTGCATGTCCACTGTGAGAGAGATAATCAGAAAAAAATCTATACAAAAGTCACAATATATGATTTTTTTGTTATTTATTTGTTTGATACAGCTGAAATACGTATTTGAACACTTGTCTATCAGCAAGAATTCTGACCCTCAAAGACCTGTTAGGCTGCTTTCAAAATGTCCACCTTCATTCCATTTATTATCCTAAATTAGATGCACCTGTTTGAGGTTGTTAGCTGCATAAAAACACCTATTCACCTCATACAGTCAGTAAGAATTCAACTACTTACATGGCCAAGAAAATAGAGCTGTCCAAAGATACTAGAGACAAAATTGTACACCTCCAAAGGCCGGAAAGGGCTCCAGGGAAATTGCCAAGCAGCTTGGTTAACAAAGGAAGAAGCTAAACATGACTGTCAATCTTCCTTGGACTGGTCTCAATGATCCTAAGAAAGGTGAGAAATCAGCCCAGAACTACATGGGAGGAGCAGCTCAATGACCTGAAAAGAGCTGGGACCACCATTTCCAAAGTTACTGTTGCCAATTCACTAAGATGTCATGGGTTGAAGTACTTATTTTCCTCACTGTATATATATATACATATATATATATATATATATATATATATATATATATATATATATATATATATATATATATATATATATATATATATATATATACATATATATATATATATATATATACATATATATATATATATATATACATATATATACATATAGAAGAGAAATAAGTATTTTTTCAAGGCACGAGTATTCATAGAGACCGCATTTGTTTTCTGTCTTGTTTCCCTTTAGGCTGGTGAACAATCTTGACATGGATGTGTTCACATTTGAAGCATATGGAAAAGACTTCATCAAAAAACAAAATATGAGCCCAGATGCGTTTATACAAGTCGCACTACAGCTTGCATTTTACAAGTAACGTATTATACACATACAGAAAACTGCATATCCCATATAGTATGTGTATGTATGACTACTCTTTTTGAATTGAAACCAATAGATGCAAAGGAAGGCTGGTGTCCACTTATGAGAGTGCTTCACTTCGTCGTTTTCAAGGAGGTCGTGTAGATAATATTCGCTCAGCCTTACCTGAGGCCCTGGCCTTTGTGAAGTCAATGGCTGACGAGAGAGCAGGTTTCACAGTAAGTCATTTGTCTCACTTTCTCCCTTATTAATAACTCCCAGAACATTGTTCACCTCTAATTAAGATAAGTGCAAGTAGCCAGTGAGGCATGTCCAACCAGGTGACTCCAATCAAACATAACTTCCCTGCAGATTCAGCCAACACATAAAAACTCCACAGCTTGATGTGGAATTTTTTATTTGAATTTGCCTATTATGTTATTTCATGCCCACTATTTATATTAACTCATAATCTTCCTTCATCTTTCAAGGACTCCGAAAAAATTAAACGACTGAAAGAGGCAGTTAAGGCCCAAACAGACTACACAATCGCAGTGAGTATTTTAGACAGTAATTGGCAATTCTTGCAACTTTGTATAAAATATTTAAGATTAATTCACATTATTTCAGTTGCAAAATCCAATTTTGAAAACATCAAGTCTTTACCTTCAGTTATTTATTTATTTTTTAATCAAATAAAAGATGGTTAACCAAGAGGGGCTGTACAATCAAGATTAAATCACAATGACCATCCAAGAGGGCAATAAATAACCCAATAAAACATCTAAACTACTTGCCAGAACTGTAGAATCATGTCAGCAAGAAAGTTGATCTCGAGCACGAAGTGATCGGTATTGAAAGTGTAGCATGCTGGTGATGCCCAGCCATGGCAGGAGCAAGAAGTGAGTGGGGTACGCTGCACAGATTATCTTGTACCATTTGAAACTCAGGACAAGACTGGCCGAGAGGAAGTGTTACAAGTAATGGCCAAGACAGACACAGGAATGGCATGTTGGAGAGATGAAGGCTGGTACTAACAGGCTGAAGAGAACAGGAAAGGTAGACCTTGGGGGAGTCTTAGTTCAATTCTATTCTCTAAGCCTACTTGCTTTATGCTCCAGGTGAACTTCTGGCTGGGACAAAAACAAATTTGCAGTTAAGGCCCTCCTGGCATGGCTGAAAAATTTATTGACCAAGATCACTCCTATATATACCCTTGACTGGATCTGTGCCCCGCCTACAACCTGGTTTGAATCAAGGAAGATGACAAATGGAAGACAGCATTTATCACTCCTAATTGTCCCTGGGAATACTTAATCATGCAATTTGGTTTATGCAATATCCCTGCAGTTTTTCTGCATTTCATCAAAGATGTCCTACGTCACATGCTTGGTTACTGGGTCTTTGTTTATCTCAAAGGCATCTTGATTTACTCCCGTTCAGAAGTCAACCATGTGTTGCGCTCCTGAGCAGTCATTCAATGACTGCTTGATAACAAGCTGTTCTGTAAACTGGAGAAGGGGGCTTTCCATTAACACTCCACCACCTTCTTGCCATCTTACCATCACCTCTTATTGCCTGACCATGTATCTGCAGAAGGTTCACGCAGTCACTCACTGGCCTCAACCCTATAACCTCAAACAGCTTCAGAGCTTCTTGGGTCTTGCGAACTTCTATAGGGGCTTTATTTGTGGTTTCAGTTCTGTGGTATATGGTGCAACCCACACCATTATGCCTTCCCCCAGAGGCCTTCCCAGCTTTTTGACATCTCTGTCATCTATTTACCAAAGCTCCCATCCTGCTCCATTCCAACCCGACAAAACCTTTTGTGGTTGAGGTTGATGTCACAAATGTTGGTGCCAGAGCAGTTCTTTCCAAATGGGGTGCCGATGGTTTACTCCATCCTTGCTGCTTCTTTTCAAGGAAATTCTTTTCCACACATCAGAAATACAGAGTAGTGGACTACGAACTGCTGGCCATCAAATTGGTCCTGGAGGAGTGGTTTAATCACTCCTTGTTACAGCTGAACCGTTCCTCATCTGGAACGGTCATCAACCTCAAACATTTGGAGTCCTTTAACTTAATCCTCTCTTATGACCCCGAAAAATATCAAGGCAAATGCTCTCTCCATCCAGTTTATCAATCTGCTTCCAGCAAGGACCCTGATCCTATTCTGCCACCAAATTGTACAACGGCCCCTCTTCACTGGTCTTTGGAGGACTCCATCCATGCTGCTGTACCTGCAGAACCTGCTCCTCCTTAAGTCCAGGCACACCGCCTCCATGTCCTTTCGCATTGTTATCAGAATGCCTTAGTCTGGGCCCAAACTAAGGCATTCCACAAATTTGTCTCATCCTGTGGCGGTTGAGCATGAGTAAAGTCATCTACCCAACATTCCACAGGGGACCTTCAGCACCTTCCTGTCACCAGAGGTCCATGGTCCCACATCCAGCTTGACTTTGTCACGAGACTACCATCGGTGGATGGTCTCAACATCATCTTGATATTTGTGGATTGGTTCTTCAAGGAGGTGGATTTGTTGGCACTTCAGGGCCTCCCCTGTGACTTTTTTTGTCACATACGGTCAATGGCAGCTATTTCTGCTAAAAATGTTACACTGCATGGACACAGACACTTCTTTTCTCTTAAACATATAACATAATACAGATGAGGCATAGAAGGGGCATAAAGTCTTGGATGCTTGGAATCAGTCAGTGAATGGTGAGTGGAGATAAAGATGTAGAGGCTGACTAATGATATGAGCTAGATGAAATTCTGACCTGATTTGACTTTTTAAAAAATGCGCTGAGCTTATAATTCAATTCAGTTTCAGTCCAATTCAGTTTATTTATATAGCGCCAATTCACCACACATGTAATCTCAAGGCACTTTACAATTTAACCAGATCATACAGTCAAATTTGTTCAAATTTTTCTATCCAAGACCAAACCTAAAACCAGTTGATTGCATCGACTCATTGACTGGAAAGCAATCCCTCACACCAAGCATGCTTGTAGCAACAGTGGAGAGGAAAAACTCCATTTAAACAGGAAGAAACCTTCAGCAGAACAGGGCTCAGTGTGAGCGGCCATCTGCTGAGGTTGACTGGGGTTCAAGGAGACAGAAGCAGACATACTGAAAGAAGCAGAGGTACAAAAGGCAACTGTAAACCAGCTCCACAGATGGCCCCGTCCTGGAAACACACAGCCAGGCAGACGAGCTCCAGTGTCAGAGGATGAAAGAGATCGCATTCAGCCAGTCACAGTCAGAGAAACAGGACTACACTGGAAAACAGGCCGATCTCCAATATATATAAACAAAGGAGTTGATGGCAGCAGCACAGCTGATATTTCTCTCCAGGACGGTTTCACAGCAATACAGGAACAGACAAGGCAAAGCTACAATGAGCAAAAGCAGAGAGAGCATAACGTTAGAGATTGAACTAACAGATTCTGCAGAGTGGAAGAATAGAGATAGAATGAAGCAGAATGATGAAAAAGGGGTCCCTATGTCCTCCAGCAGTCTAAGCCTAAAGCAACATAACTATAGGGATAGCTCAGGATAACCTGAGCCTCTGTAACTATGAGCTTTATCAAAAAGGAAAGTTTTAAGCCTGGCCTTAAAAGTAGACAGGGTTTCTGCCTCACTGACAAAAACTTGTAGTTGGTTCCAGAGGAGAGGAGCCTGATAACTAAAAGATCTGCCTCCCCTTCTTCTTTTAGAAATTCTATGAACCACTAGTAAACCTGTAGATTGAGAGTGAAGTGCTCTGTTAGGAACATAAGGAAAAATCAGATCTCTGATAATAAGAACTCTGGCTGCAGCATTTTGGATTAGTGTTGCACCGATACCGATACCAGTATCAGACGGGGCCCCGATACTGCCCTAAAATGGTGTATCGGTATCGGCGAGTACAAACAAATAGGGCACCGATACCATTTTGAGAGCCATAAGTTTATTTAACTATTGTCACCCACTCCTGGTAGGCAATAAAACGTTCTACTGGATTCACTTTGTATTCGATTTTTTTCCTGCTTCACAGGTAGGCAGCAGCTTGACAAAGCCATGATGGCAATTATTTTACATTATTATGGTATCGGTATCTGCCGATACTGGACAGCCAGGTATCGGGTATCGGTATCGGGGCCAAAAAATGGCATTGGCGCAACACTATTTTGGATCAACTGAGGGCTTTTAACCACTGTCTGTGGACTTCATGATAGTAAAGAATTACAATAGTCCTGCCTTGAAGTAATAAATGCATGGACTAGTTTCTCAGCATCACCACTGGACATGATATTTCAAATTTTTGCAACATTCCACAGATGAAAGAAAGAAATTCTAGAAACCTATTTGATATGGGATTTAAATGACATGTCCTGATCAAAAATAACTCCAAGATAATAACCCCTCTGCTTTATTAATGCATTGATTCAAATTGTATTTCATTTTTTTTTTAGGCAATTACAGGCATGGGGATAGACAATCACCTGCTAGGGCTTCTCAAGGTGTCAAAGGAGCTGAACATGGAGAAACCCGAAATCTTTTGTGATGAGACATATGTGAAGAGTAATCATTTCATTCTCTCTACTAGTCAGGTGGGATGATGTACCTTAAAATACATTTCCTAAGAATACTGTTTCCATTTTTGACACCTAGTTTCATACAGATACTATTATACAAAGAAAATCAAAGAACTATAAGAGAAATAATAAGTAGCTGCAAAATCCTATGAAACACAATGATAAATTGGCAATATTCCTTCAGAACCATTTAAGATATTTAGTTCATGCAGTTGTTCATAATCCTGCTGATGACTCATTGTTTGCTGCAAGCAGTCTTATTAATTTGAAACTCCAGTAAAATATGCTGCCTCAGCAAAGAGTTTGGTTTCAGACAATAGTTATTTTTTTCAGTGGACACTTTCCTGGCATGGATTCAAGCCCACACTTAAAGTAATTTGGCTTCCTTAGGCAACGCTTTTTCAACACCACATTAATCAGGTTAAGGAAAGGAGCTTGCACAGGGCCTAACAGTTAGTGTTTTGCCCTAACGTAATGGTATTAACTTCATGGCATTGTCTCACCTTGAACATTTACATGAAAGTTACTTTTACTGTCATTATTCTGCCCTCTGTGGACTTCTGTTTAAGTTTCTTTTTGAGTATTCAGTTATTTATGTCATTCTGATTTGTTAGTCATTTGTTTCTTTTCCAATTTGTGTTACATTTAAGCAGTGTTATTTTTAGTGTTGCTCTCTGTTGCCCCCTTGTGTTACTCTCCTTTCCCCTAGCTCCTTTCTAGTTACTTCTATCCACACCTGCTCCATATCAGCTAATTAGCCCATTCTTTGTTCTGTCCCCATTATATACATCTGCTGTGCAGTTAATCATTGTTAGATCCTCTTCATTGCTTAATTTCTTCTTGTATGTTTCTCCTGAGCGTCTCTAGTTTTTGGTTTCTCAGTTCCCAGCCTGTTATTTCTGGATTTATGTTTTTTTTTACCATCTACTTCAGCATTAAAACTGCAAAAACTATTTCTGCCTCCTCTACTCTGCATTTGGGTCCACAATAACATCCACCAACCCTAACATGTACAGGCAACACTGACTAGTGACAAATGCTTTTTAAAATAGAAGAAAAATACACTCTTTAGACACCTATAGAAAAAGAAAAGTTTATTCACCAAATCAGAGTAGTCAGGAATAAAAACAAAAAAGAAGATATATGGGTGTCTTTTAAAGACATCTGTGTGGAATGTTATCTCAAGCGCAAGTGTAAAATGCTACCAAGCACAAGTGTATGTCCTGGTTATGGTTACTGTAAACATTGAGCTCAACTGTCAGCAAATTTCACTGACATTCAATTTTTAACCACTTAATGGCTTAAATTATTAAATTAAGTGCTTTAAAGTTGAAAATAAGTCCACATATTTGATAATCACTAATTGAATTTTAAAACTTTTTTGGCGGAACAAATGGACAACCAGTCTCTTGTTTTTGCATAACTTGGATAGGTGGTAAGGTTAAAAAAGTTTGGTTTAACCTTGCTTTACTTTGCTTGATGAGTAAAGTGACTTATTTGCCTAAAATATATATTCATATTCAGTGTCAAGAGGGAGAGCAGCTTTATTTACTGTATGTATTTTCTTCCAATTACTCACTAAATTGTTTAAGCCTAAACTGTGTTCATTTATTTCTAGGTCCCAACAACAGTGAAAATGTTTTGCTGCTATGGCCCAGTAGTACCCAATGGCTATGGTGCCTGCTACAACCCACAGCCGAACCACATTGTCTTCAGTGTGTCAAGTTTCTGGGAAAACACTGAGACAAGCTCTGCCGTTTTTGTCAAGGCTCTGAACGAAGGCTTGTTGGAAATCAGGGACCTGTGCAATAGAAGTGCGGCCGCCGCTACTAAAACATCTGAAAGCAGTCAGACAGCAGCAGCCAAGCCATATAAATCAGGAAAGTAAGCCTTACTGGTAGTTCACCCCTAATCATCTCCACTCTTAAAGTTAGACTCGGTAGCTTGGGAAAATATTATTGCCTTAAAAAAGAATATATAACTAGAAAAATATGTATATACATCTATTTAAAAAAACAACTGTAATAGAGAAGAAGAATGAAGACGTATATCTCCTTTTTTGGATCTGTGAGAATGATGCGGGGTCCAAAACAGACTCTGGTGGACCTAGGATACTCGGTCTGCTACACTTAAGGAAAATGAAGCCATGTTTGTTTGTAGAACCGATCTGATGATTCAGTCTTCAGTATAAGTTATTTGAATTATTGGTATATATATATATATATATATATATATATATATATATATATATATATATATATATATATATATATATATATATATATATATATATATATATAGACCTAAGGTCCAAGGTTGATCAGACCCACAAAAATCTTAATATAGAATAAGATAGTTTTGTTGTCACATATAGTTTATGTGAATCTGCAAACTTTGCCACTTTGTTAGCACTGTGAAATGAAATGTACAACAGTATAATGTGTTAATATATATACTTTATTTTTACAAAGAAATATTAAAAAAAGTGTGCATATGTGACATACAGTATACGGATAGGCCAACGATAAGTTGGAAGCACTTTAAGACACACATACGTACAAACACAATCCTTTATAGACGTGTGTAGCTGAAACCTGAAAATTACACAAACTGTATAAATGGATTTTTCCTAATTGTCTGAAATTAAATCACAGGGAATTTATCCTAATTTAAATCTGTTTGGATTAGAAAATTCACCAAGGTACAACACTGTTTGACTTTTGTATGATACCAAAGTTCTCAAACATGTGGTTTGATATGTGGTCGCCTTTTACTATCTGCTCTGAATCATTTATTAAAGTTATGTCCCATTTCTCCCCAAATAACTGGTGTAACACATAATTTAGGTTTGTTAGCTTGAACACTTCTACCCATAAAATTTCTACAGCGTATAGATCAGGCCTTTTAAGGTCATCCTGAAACACTATTTTATTATTTTTTAAACATAGCTAATCTGAGAGTATGACTGATCCACTGACTCACTTATGCATATGTTTCTGGAAAGTTTTGAGATTTAGCATACTTTTCCGAGATGTTTTTTATTTGGTTTTCTTATTTTAGTTTTTTTTTTTTTTTAGAGGATAAAAGAAATCCTCTGAACTGATTCGGCCTCTTACCCTTAAGGTTAGAAAGGCATTCTCATGATGAAATAGAATTACCTGCATTTGTGTTAGAGAAAAGAACAGGGCATGTTGATGCATCCTGAAACTGTACCCAAGGATGAAGAAGACTAATCAATATGAAAAATGTTCCTGTTATATATTGGTTGCTTTCTTTATTCTATAATGTTATATGAGGCACTAATATGTATAAGGCGTTAACATACATCCAATGGTGTGCCTTGGTTAAACTCAAATATAGTGAATTTAGAAGACTGAATCTTCATAATTCACTACATGATCCACAATATCATCTCAATTTTCTCAAGTTATTCAGAGACGTATTGACCTTTGGGTCCTTAAAATTCAACATAAGAAATAAAATGCATATTACAGGGAAAGTGAAAAAAAAAATACATAAATGTCTTAATTATGACTAATTGTTGTAGTAGTAAAATGACCTTAAAAATAAAAGATATATATGTATGTAAATCTCTATATGTATGTTATAAGTGTTAAAAAATACAAAGGCTATCACCTACATTACTTATTTGCTTGACTGCAGTGTAACAGAAATCGTCTACCTACCTACTTGTATTATACCTAACAGCAATAGTCAAATACTCTGTGACTTTATATATACGTAAGCTTACTTGCTGTTTCTTCATATATGAGGTGCAGTGAAGCTTTTTATGCAGTTTGACAAATCACCTAATTCTTCATGGGTATGTTTACAAGAGGTGCTGTATTTCAATTAAGAAAATAGATTTATTATATGATTAAAAATGTTCATTTGCTAAGTACTTTCTCATAAACGTTCTTTTTTTTAATTATTTGTCTCCAATGTTTTTTGTTGTGCAAAGTACCTAGTAATCTGTACTGAAAGTGAATCTGCTATATTGTTGTGTCCATCAGCCAAAGTGGATGTGATATGATTTTAAACTATACATAAAGCAAATATTATATCTTTTATTGTGTTGATTCCTATATGAAGATATTTTTGATGAAATATTGTTAAAATCTCAGTAGTGCAATTTCCAAATGCCTTAAAATTATGTGGAAGTGGTCTTGTGATTTGTCTTATGCAAGAAGTGTTTCATGTGAGCAACATGTATCTGTCACAATTGTATTTCTTTATTTGTCTCATACCAGAAATATTTGGTAATAATTATAGAATACCACCATATAATTGTGACTCTCTTTGTTTCACCCAATAAAATGCTATATGTATGTTGCTAATTGATTATTGAGTATATAGTCTATGCAGAAGTGTTGCAGCCCTTAAACTTTTCAGAGTTCTGAAAAGCTACAGTGTACACCATTAGGACTTCATGTGATGGCTCGAAAGAGGTAGTTCAACACTTTGTAAAGGAAGAAAATGTATAAACTGTTTTTTTATTTTTTTTATTTGACAAAATAGGAATTAAAGTGCTAAGCTCCTTAATTTAAACTGCTTTCCTCTAATACCCTTAAATAAAATCCAGTGTGGACAATTGTCTCCAGAAGTCATTGTTTCTGCAAACACTATCAAGATCAGACAACATACTGTACCAGACCATCCACAAATCCATTCTCTGTCACACTTATCACAAGCGGGGTCCTGAAGGTAGGTTGGAAGATTTTTTGTTAGTTTAAAAACTTGTCTTAAGTTTGTTACAAGTCATGGAGAAGACGCAGTAAAAAATTGAGAAAAATTATGTGCCTTGGATCAAATTATGCCAAAACTAACAATGACTGATCATCACCCTTAATGTACTATCGTAACAGTGATGCAGTAGTGAAACCATCATTCCATCATTCTGCAGAGATACTTCTCTAAGAACGCAGGGGTGGGGCTGCTGGTCTCGCCCCCAGCTCACCTGTCTCATGGTGGAGTTTACCACTCTACATGAGAGGGTTGCATCAATTTGTCTTTGGGAGGGGGGTCTCTGACTGTAGTTTTAGCCTATGGGTTGCCAACAGCGACACCCGGAGGGGCATAATCTGGAGGAACGGACCCCTAGCCCTGAACCCGAGGAGTGGTTTATTATTAGACTTCTGTGCAACTAGTGTATTGTCCATAATAAACGCCATGTTCAACATAAGGATGTCCAATGGTGCACCTGACAGCCCAAGCCAGAGGTCGATGATCAACTTTGTAGTCTTTCTTGATACTGTTGGGCCGTCTTGGCGGACATGCCTCTTCAAAACTATGTGGAAGTCCTGGAAAGTGCCCTTGAATTGAGGGTGTGTTCCAACTATTGGGAGATCACACTTCTTAGCCTCCCCAGACACGCCTTAGCCTCCCCAGTGTGGCCTATGCATCATACCGGAGAGGAGTCTGGCAGAGAGCAAACCTCTGCTTGAGGAGAAGCAGTTTGGTTTTTGTCCTGCTGTGGAACAGTCGACCAACTCTACACCCTCTGCAGGGTGCTCAAGAGTTCACGGGAGTTTGCCCAACAAGTCCACATGTGCTTTGTGAACATGGAAAAGGCATTCGGCCGGGTCCCTTGTACGAGCATAGCAGGAGCCTGGTGCCCACTGCTGGCATTAAGTTGTACCTGTTCCTGGTCCATATTGAACTCAGGGCCGCCCTCTGTCACAGATCCTGTCAATAACCTTTATCGACAGGATTTCTAGGCAACGCCAAGGACCGGAGGGGGGCTGGTGTAAGGACAGGCGGATCTGGACCATGCTTTTGGAGGATGACATGGTTCTATTGGTTCCCACCTGCCAAGACTTAAGGGCTACTTATATTCCTCCAGCAGTGTGTCGCAGTGAGCTTGTCGTGAATATGACGCATATATTTTTGATGCCCAAAATGCCCAATTTTATTCCCTGCCACAATGCAAGAGGGACAATCATGAACTAGCTGTGGGTCTAGATACGGGAAAAATGAGGAATTGGAAAAATGCAAGGGGCAAGTTTGTGCGACAACGGAGGGACATGAGGGCAAAAAAGAGCGGGGATCCAGGTGGAAAAAAGGCTCCCAGCATTCTTGCGCACCTTGCTCTTCTAGCAGGTCCAACTTCGAGAGTCGTTTTCCACAATAAAGGTCATACAAACTAAACAAGCCAGTAAGGTAGCAAACATGAAATACGAAGTGTGGAGCGGATGTAGATTTGACCTACAATTTTGGAGAAATTTTGGGCGGGAACATATCTGAGTTCACTGTGACACACACACAGACAGCCTGGTTTCTGAACATAAATCAGCCATTACAGCATCCAATGGGGTGGTTTGCAGCCAAGTGTTAGGTGGCTAGGATGAGAATCAGCTCCTCCAAGTCAGAGGCCATAGTTTCCCACAGGAAAAAGGCGGCTTGTTCCCTTCAGGTTGGAGGAGAGTTCCAACCTCAAGTGGGGGGAGTTTAAGTATCTTGGGTTCCTGTTCATGAGTGAGGGGAGAATGGAGCAGGAGATCGATGCGTCTGGTGCTATAATGTGGACGGTTCAGCAATCTGTCATGTGAAGAGAGAGCTGAGCAAAAGGGCAAAGCTCTCAATTTACCAGTCAGTCTACGTTCCTACCCTCACCTTAAGGAGAAAATCAACGATACAAGCTGCTGAAATTAGCTTTCTGCGCAGGGTAGCTGGGCTCTCACTTTATCCTCTTTCCCACTAAAAAAATAGTTGGTTAACCCTGGTTTTGTAAGCATGATTCGACCCCCTAACAACTGGGATTTGGCTCCCTTCCCATTAAAAAAAAAATCTGGGTCTAATTCCCTACCTCTGCATGTCACCAATGCTAACCATCACATTGGGTTAGCATTGGTGATGTCACCACTGTGACAAAAATTGGGAAAGAAAACAATGAAGAGCAGAATATAAGGAAGATAGGGCATAGTAAATGTGCCTTATTGTTTCACTCTTTTATTTGTCTGAATCCCTCTTACCAGTTCTTCACCATGTATATCAAATAAAACAGAGTTGTTTGGGCAATTGTACTACCAAAAATTTGCCGGTCAACCCAGGTCTGGTGTGCACAGTTTGCCGATCAGGGCCAAGCCGATTTCCACACGTGAGGCTTATAAGGTCGTTTAACCCGGGTAGACACGGGTCAGTGAGCTGTTCCCACTGCCACCGAAAACTGATTCTTCCATGGTTTAAAATTTTTCTTTAGCCAGTGGGAAAGGGGTATTAGAAATAGGGTGAGGAGCTCGTCATTCAGCAAGGGCTGGGTGTAGAGCCGCTTCTACTCCACATTGAAAGGAGTAAGCTGAGGAGGCTTTTGAGATCCCCCCTGGATGCCTCCCTTGGGAGGTGTTCCATGCACGTCCCACTGGTAGGAGGACCAGAGGAAGACCCAGGAGATGCTGGAGGGACTGTGTCTCTTAAGTGGCCTGGGAGCACCTCAAACTTCCCCTAGCAGAGCTGGAGGAGGTGTCTGAGGAGAGGGAAGTCTGGGAGTTTCTACTGAGACTGCTGGCCCCACAACCTGGTCACAGATGAAGAGGGAGATGATGAGTACATGTACATGAAAGGGGAAGCTTGTGAGAGTTGGTGCTCAGTCAAATAACACACATTACTCCACAAAAGTGTTTTGCAGAGACTAACTTCACAAAATAATTTATCTGTTTAACAAACAGATAAAAATGGCTGTATCCTGGAAGAGGAAAAAAATAATTATTCTTTTAATGTATAATTCCTGGTTTCACTTCAACTTGTGAAGGAATTCTCTTTTTAATTTCTGTTTTTAATTGACTGATCAAGCAGTAAAGCAGTTGAGAAATGATTTGGTTTATAACAGAATTGGTTTATTTGACTCTGTCAGTTTTTTTTCATCAGCATATTTTAAGCCTCTAATTGCACACTTGTTGCTCGTTTTTCCCATAAGGTAGATACCACCATCTGCTCAGCGCCTGCACAAGAGCAATCATAATTAAAAAAGAGAAATATATATTTACTTTAGGGGAAATATGTATATTACAATAGGAATCTATTTACAGTTAACATATTTATTCCTAACATTACATATAAAGAGCCATGGGCCCAGATGTGATGCCTTGACTTATGCAAACCTATTCATTGTTGGCACATTTTGGGCCTGTTACCTCATCAGACAGATGTTTCTGTCTAAAGCAGATGTTTCCTAGAGTTTTCAAAGGAAATGTTTTTCTGGCTTTTGGCCGTGATCATTTTCAAACATGATTATTTTCCAGCATATGGCAATATTCGATAAGAGAGGTGAAAAAGTAAAGAAAAAAAGTCTGTAGACATTTTGTTTTCAAGTAATATATTAATGGTTTAACCTTAGTGAAGACTTCACATATTTAATGTGTGATTTTCTGTTAAATGCTTTAAATCACTTGAGAAATCACTTTTTATAATTGTGTATGTATGTATTGGTCACTGAAATATCAATGAAGCACTAACGACACTGGCTTCGTTCTAAGGCTGCAGCTATGGGTTTATCAAAACAATGATAAATGCATGCTCTCTGTATTAATCATGTTCCATGCACAGGCCTTATTTACAATACACTAAAGCTCTTTTCCCATAGCAGGGACTTTTCATATGGTATTCTGAAAGCTTTCAGTGTATTTCGATAGCTTTTAGATTACTTTATGATTTTTAGCCCCTTTTTCTTCAAAAATGTAATTTTATTTTTTTTTATCCAGGTAATGGAATCATGGGTAATTTGGGTGCTTTCTGTTTCCACCCATAACAATAATTATTTTCACTTAATATAGTGGAAAGTTGTGAAGAAAAGAGCACCTCCTCTCCCAGAGATGGCGGTAACTATAGTATAATTACTGTTGACTGGCAGCCAAAGCCATCATGAAGCACAGAGCAGTGAAGAGCCCAGACTTTTGATTTTCTTTGTTTGTTAATTTTATCCAGAAAAGACCCCAGCAGGTGTACTGTTACTGTTTTCTCTCACCCTCTCTGGTATAAACTAATATATTATATATATATAAACCAAACATGAACCGTTAAATGCCACCTTGCTTAGTTTAAGCTTTCTTTTAACTTCCACTTAGTGGTGAAAGGCAGCTGGAATTGGAGCGGTACACTAGATTTATCAGAATTATAAAGTTGGTAAAAACACACCTCAAAATGTAAAGCATAATTCTAACCTAAACTATGTAAGTTAAAAAATTGCCTTTTTTTTAAAAGACCCACCCTCTCCACTTAAAAAAATGCACAAGCACAACCTTGTACCCTTTCCCGAGAGGGAACCCCTATTAAACGGGAGTAGAGCATGCACGAGCCCTTTTCTCCTCATGCACGCTCTGTTTAAAAGTTGCTGTTTGCATCGCTCATACAAGCTCAGGGTCCTGTCACACCTTGCAGATTTAGACAGAGTATGCCTTACGTCCCAGAATCTCTTAAATTGCTGGCATATGCTGACCTTTCTATGTATTTTTTATATTTTGGTCATATACATTGCGTATTCATAACGAGTCCAGAACGTATATCCAACTACAGCCTAACTTATGCATAACGCACGGCTGTGTAATGCCCATGAAATGTTGCTTGTGCATCATTTCATGGGCATCAGTTAAAGCT